ACAGTCATTCACACACACACACAAAGCAGTACAAAACTCCTGTCAGATGTCACAGCCCCTACTATAAACAACTGTTCTTCCCATAAGTCATTCAGTACTGTCATTTTTAGTTTTAAAAATTGTTCCAAAGGCTGTGATGGATCTTATAAAAACATGTTAAGTTTTATTCAGCTATTATTACTGCTCCTGGCTATGAGTTCAATTAAATTCACATATACGTTATCTTCAACAGACACAAAAATCACAAATGTATTGGTGAACTGTCAAACATAAGCAAGAATGCAATCCTGCATTTCCCCTTAAAGGCCACAGCTCACTATTCACTGGTGTTTCTGGCAATTTTTCAGACCATAACTACTGCAAATAATGAGAATCAATCATATGAGTCCAGTAGAGAGAAAGTAATTTCTTTCTAAAATTAAGATTTAGTTTCTGAGCCAGGTATAGTGGCACATGCCTGTAATCCTAGCACTTGAGGAGGCAGAGGCAGGTAGATCCCTGTGAATTCAAGGCCAGCCTGGTCTACAAAGGGAGTCCAAGACAGCCCGGGCTTCACAGAGAAACCCTGTCTTGAAAAACAGAACAAAACAAAACAAAAGTTTCTGCCTTTCTTCCTTTCATACAGGAAATGCAGACATGTCTTACAACTAACGTACATACAGTGCTGTTGGGGACCTGGGTAAGTCCCTCAAAGACAGTCATCCTCCAAAGACAGTGAAACTGACAAACAGGCCTGTGTGAGTGCTGGTCAGCAGAGGAATGGCACATGCACACCTAATAATTAAGTCACTGTAGGCAGAGAGAAACAAACAGTTTCAAACATGAGCCCAAACAACAGGCAGAATACTAACTTGGAATTTTATGTGCTAATATGCCACCGGTTATTTTTTTTTCACAATTTCAAGTAACCAGCAAAAGGTTATAAGCGAAGGATTTACCCTGTAACTGAGCTGGGGTGAACAGTGAAGAATAAATATCAAAGTAGTTTTAAAAACTCTTTGAGACAGTTTTACTGTATTGTCTAGGCTGGTCTTGAATTCCTGGGTTCAAATGATTGATCCTCCTGCTTCAGCCTCCTAAGGAGCAGGGACTATAGGCATACACCATATTTAACATGACTGACTTTTAAAGTATAGTCATCCTAACTGATCAAGATAAATCAATGCATGATGTAAAGATAATATGCTATCCTGTCATTTTTGTTTTGAGGCAGCAGAAACAAATGTCTTAGAAGTGTACTGATTACAGTAACTGCTACATTTTTTGCTCTTAATTCTAGAAGACATCATAGCATAGATAAAACATACTTTTCTTCTTCCTTCCTCCTTCCGATCAAAAGCACATTGCTGTTTGCACTGTTCACAGGTCTGAGGTGGTCCGTATTTTTTTTCTGAATTTGTACACCGCTGACACTTGGTACCAATAAATGCTGCAATTATGTTACAGTACTGACAAGGTTTAGGCTGAAAAATAAACACACTTAGTTTAACTGAGATACCTTAAAACCTTGTTGTATAAGACACATCCAGTGTTAGTAAAATTAGGAAAGCATTTAAAATAAAAACATTTGTTCTGCTATATAGTCAAAGACAAATATAGCGTGTCTATTCTTTCAACTAATATTTATTGCTACAGTCATGAAGTTCAACTACGCCTGCTCAGAAATCTGACCATTGTGAGAAATATACTCAGCACATTTTATACAAGACAAAATTTGCTTATGAGGTTAAACAATTATTCACAAAAAGTCTCATAAACCTATAACAAGGATATACACTTGCAGTGATATGCTAGTTGGCTTAACTGTTAAATCATTTCTTCAATTAAAAATAATTTTACCATATATAGGGTGTTACCACAATAAATAATAAGTATCTTTCCAATAATAAAAAAATAGCATAAGCATATTCAGTTAAGTAACAATGAACACCCTTGACTTCTTGGATACTCAGGACACTACAGTCTTAAGCACTTTGACCAATTACTATGCTAAAATCTACAGCATACATGTTGGCCTATTTGTACCATGATACCGTCATGAGTTTTGAACACCTGAATGGTGCCGCCATATAAAAAGTTCCAGAAATCAGGGAATGTTTGAGTATGTGGAGAGTGTAAATAAATGTTCTCCACATTAAGGACTTTGCTTTATACTTTTAAGAAACAGCTTCAGAAATTTCACACTGCATTCACTATATAGCATGTAAAGCATGCAGCTGTTTTTTTTGGTCATCAAAACTATAGAAAATATTGCCCATGAACTACTTTGATATGTTGAGATACAGAAGTAGAATGGCCAATAACAATGACTTAAAATGAAAAACACACTTACTGTTCCAAATTGCTTGACATTTTGAGCACACTTCTTACAAATTGTATTAGTTTTGCTGAAAAGGAAATTATATTCAGATGATTATACTCATGTAGCTTTCCAGGATAAGTAACACATGCTGACCTATAATAAATGGATGAGTCAAAGATTTGTAGAGTACTTATTCTAATTCACAATGAGTAAAAATATAAATAAAAAATATTAAGTTTAGGATAGTTTTTTATAAACTTATTTCTCTTAAAGACAAATTTTCTATATACTATTTACTTATTAGAAACAATGCCTCCAGGTCTCAGGATGTATCCCCAAGTTGGTCTCTAAGTGGTAATTCTCTTGCCTCCACCTCCAAACACTGTGCTTATAGGTAGCCAACTTACCGTACATTTTCTGAAAGGAAAACAAAGCAGAAGTGCTAATGTGTTCCCTCTGGTTCTAAGCTCTCCCTAAGAGTACAAATGCACATCCTCCTGCATCAGGGCCCACCTCACTTCCAGTCACCTTTTCTCCACTGTAATGTCCACACGTACTCAGTAATAAAATTATTTTGTGAGCTTAGTTTGTGTCCTCTAAAAAGGAATTCCCCATTAAAAACATGTTTGCCAGAGTTACTGCTAAAGTCGGTGACTTCAGTCTTGAAAAGCAGTTGGTACCTCAGATTAATTAGCAGTTTTCCACTAAAAATAGTTTAAAAGTAATTGTTCATATTTTGATTGTTGGCAAAAAAGTGTTTTCTATCCATCAATTTATCCCTAGTTTCTCATGTTCAAATTGAACTCTATTTTTAAAACCAGGATCTTTTAGTCAGTGCGTTCTCTCAGACTATATATAAATAGTTCTTAATTTTAAATTTAAGAAACAGAAACATTTTTTCAAAGTTCTTTCACACAAACCCCAGATATTCCTTACATGAACTTGTAACAATGAAAAACTGTTCAGTATACAAACCTCTCCTGCTGAAATTCTGATCTGCAGTAAGTACATTTTACAATAGGATGTGCAATCCGACATTCCTGTAATAAGATAATATATGTCAGTATGTATCTCAGAGAGCCAATCTCACTTTTCTGGTAGAAATTACTCGACCTAATCAAGTGCCTGAAATGTCAATAAAATGTGGCTAGCAACGTAAACAACTGGGTGACTTATCACATCAGCAGCCAGTCTCAGTATAATTCCATGGGAAGGCCACAGACATTTTTGCCATTACTGGACGTGGAGGAATATGGAAAAGATAAATTAGGGAAGCTGTCAGGACTGGCTTCCAGGGGTGATTGATTACATGTGAAACTACTAGTTATTTTGTACAGTTGCTCACAGACAGCATCCCGGCTTTTATGGGATGGGAGGAGCTCCAAATCAGAGCATTCTGTTCCCAAACCAGTCGCTTCACTTTCCGGGACAGGGAAGCAGGATGCCATCAGCTCTGCAGCTTCGGGTTCGGGTTCCTAGCAAGAAAGTGCAAACACGGCGCCCTGCCTCCCAGTGGAAGGAGAGGGCAGCCCCTGCCAAAGCTGGGGTGAGAAAGTCTGCACCGGATCTCTGCGACACGGTGGACTGGTGGCCGCCTGGCTCAGCCCCACCCGAGACCGCCAGGAGCGGCCGAGCCGGCCCCAGCCTGCAAGCAGGCGGAACGCGGTCGACCCGGGTCTCGCCCACCTGATGCCCGGGACCCGGCGGGGAGCGCTGCGCTGAACGCCCGGCGCCCACCGACCTTGCAGAGCTGTTGGCCCTGCGAGAGCTCCTCGAAGGGGTAGCGCTGCGTGCACTTGGTGCAGGCGTACAGGGCCGACGCCGCCATCCTGCTTTCGGGCTCCTCCGCGCGCGCTCAGGCGGGGCCTCCGGGAACTCGGCTGCCCCGCCCGCGGGCTCCTCGGCCGCTGCAGCCCAGGCCTGGCAACCGCCGGGCCCCCCGCGTCTCCCTCCGCCTCCGCCGCCGTCCCGGGACACCCACTGCCGCCCTCCCCGCCGCTCCCGCTTAGGCCCGGACCGTGGCGGAGGGAGACGAAGCCGGGGCTAGGCTGTGGATTCCGCTTCCTCCTCGGCCTCGCGTCCCTCTCTATGATTGGCTGCAGAGAACCTTACGTCACTTGAAAGCTCCGCCCTGCCCATGGCCTATGTTACACAGGAAGCGCCCACAAAGAGGGGAAAGCACCGACCAATAGGAGGCCGCCTCTCTGAGAGCGCGAAATCCGCTTTGAAGCAGTCCCGCCCACAAGCCACAGCCAGTCCTCGTGTGGGCGATGCGCCAGAGCTCATTGGGCACAGGTCGCTCTTTTTAAGCCCTTGGTTTCCATTGGACCATGTCATTAAGCCCCTCCTACTCTTGTTCTTTATTGGTCAAAAGATCAGTACTTCACCTGGAGAGGCAACGCCCTCTGGAATTTATTGCTGGGGTACTGATGAAGTGTTTCAACTTCCCAGTCGCCTTTGTTCGGCTCCCGTCATCCGCCGCAGCAGCAGCCGAAGGCTCCAGAGGCCCTAGCCTTTGCTTCCTTCTCCTGAACAGCCACCCCTTTCCAGATGCCCCGAGCCGTCGGTCAACTCACGGCGTTGCCGGACCCGTAGGCTCAGTGCCGCGCTACCTTGTGACGTCACCGAGAGAAGAGGCGGGCTCTCGCCTGCCACCAGAAGATGTCCGCTTTTCTGATTGGTCACTGAAGACGTCCGTCAGGACGCGTTGCCCTTTCCGCGCGCGCTGAGTGTGGCGTCCCTGTGGGGTGTGAGGCCGGGATTCCTGGTGGGTTCACCCCGTGCCCGCCCCTTCCATCGGGGGCTGGGCTTCAGCTCACCTCACGCGGGCTGCTTTCGAAGCCGGAGGAGGGGCTCGAGGACGGCGGCCCGCGGTGCGCAGGCGAAACATGGCGGCGGCCTCGGTCTCCGCGGCTTCTGAGGCTCAGTTTTCGGTAAGCGGCGGCGATCGCGTGGGCTCCTGGCAGGCTTCTCTGGACCTCCGGGTGGCCTCACGCCTCAGGAGGGCCCTGGGTGTGGCGACAGCCCGCAGGGCGGCGGGTTGCCCGAGGTCGCGAGCCGCTCCGGGAGGGTGCACCTGTGTTGTGAAGCAGCAGCCCTGCCCGCCTCCTCTCATGCCTCCCTGCGTCCCCTTGGCCTCGCAGGCGGCGCTGTGGCGCGTTGCCCCGGGCTGGGGTGGGTGCACTCTCAGGCCTGCTAAAACAAAGCTCCGTCGGTCACGTGAGCCTAACGGCCTCTGAGAACAGGTAGGTGTGCAGGCCCGTTGAGTGACAGCCGCCGAGGCGTCCGTGGTCCCCGGAGTGCATTTTGGACCATGTGTGCAGTGCCTCTCAGTGACAGCCGGAGCTCGCAAGTTCCCACTTCCCGCTGCACGCCTAGGACTCAGGGTGGAAATTGCTGCTTTGGAGGAGCGATCGAGGGCATTAAACACCGGAGGGTTTAGTCACTGGCGTTTGTAAAATTGGATTGTGGAGCTCAATCTTTTGGAAAACGCTCCAGTAAGAAGAGATTAGAATTAAATGTGACAAAGTATTCCGATGTTGGACTCCAATTGACTAGAAACTCCACTCTGAAGGAGGAGCAAGGCACTGTGCTGGTTCGATAATTACTGCAGTGCATGTTTTGATACCAGAGGAGTCTGGGAGAGACTGATTGGCAGTGTTAGGGAAAATAGTTTCTTGAAGAGAGGAAGAGGTAGCTGCCCGTTGAAGGAATTGTAAGAGAATAAGGCACTGCAAGCTTTTTGAGGTACTGGCAAGACAGTAGGTACTTCAGGACACCAGAGGGTAATTTGGAATAAGCTGAGGTAATATAGAAGTAAAGTTGGGCAAGAAGAGCTAGAAAAGGGTGAATATTGAATAATGAGGGATGTCAGAAAACTACCAGGGTATTTTCATAGTAGATGAAGGAGAGACTACAGAGATTGCAAGTCACCTTCAGGAAGTCACATTTAGGGATATCAGTTTCAACTTTCCATGCCTACTAGAATTTGTGACAAAGTCAGATTATCTCAAGTTTCCCACACAGTATGGTACCTTTGCCAAGAAGTCTAGAGGAGATTAAGAAGTAATGAAGCAAGCAATTGGGAGTTCATTCACTGTAAGATCAATAAAAGGCAAAAGAAAAGCTATGAGAAGTGAGTCAGGGGATGTGTGAATTATATAGGAAACACGATTGATTAAACTTGGGAAAGGAGGGCTCTTCCTTGCCCTCAAAACTTAGAAATTGGAGAGCAATTAATGAGTACATAATGTTAGCTTGCACTGTACCCAAGGCCTTCAAGGCAATGCCACAGGGATGTGGTTAATCCTTAGTCCTAATGATAAACCCAACAGAAATCCTAAAGCCTGTTCAGTAGGAAAATATATGAATTTTGTGCACTGGCATTTTTTTTGGGTTTGTTTGTTTTTGTGTATTTGTTAGTTTTTTGAAAGGGTGTATTACAGGTGTTTGAAATAAAAAATCATATTGCTGAAAAATTGGTAAGGAGATAGTATCAAAGGCGTTAGGAAACAAAACAAGGCTGGGACCATATTATGTGGAGGTTTTATAAATTATAGTAAGAATTTTGAATTGTACTTTGTTTTGGAAAGCCATAGAAAGGTTTTGATTAGAAATAATTTGAATTGATTTTTTTTTAAAAGGATAGTTATAACTCGCAAGCTGTTTGGAAGAGCATACTTACTGAGTTTGAAAAGTAGTATTTCACAGTAATTCAAACTTAAAAAATAACTATAGGAACATCAGGGGTGTAAGGGATTCTAAGTATGTTATGGAGAAAGAACCCTGAATGATTTACAGAGAGATTGGATATGAGGTGAATGGAAATGACTCCACACAAAGATTATGTACAGAGCAATTTAGTAAATGGCATTTGTTGCAGGATATTTGATACCATTCTGAACCCTGTTTCTAGTTGTGGAGTGGCTCGGTGGCTCAGCCCTAGAATACAACTTGAACCCAAGAACTTTCTGTTTATTGTAAACAAGTACTTATGTGTGTGATATACGCCTTTAATTTAATCCACAAACTGTCTGTACACAGGATTCAATCAAGTTAATCCTAGGTCAAGAGTCAGAGCAAGAAGCCAGCTGACAGGGAGTAAACAGAAAGGAGGGACACTGAGAGAAGAGTATTTAAGACAGTGTGGAGAAGAAGAAAGGACTTTTGGGCTTTTTCCTTCTGGAACAAGAGCTGAGTAGGAATGTCAGCTGGGTGCTTTCTCTGTCTCGCTGAACTAGCAGGGTTTCACCCAAGCATCTGGCTCCTAAGTCTTAATTGGTAAAATTGAATGATTGGGATTTTTGTTTACATGGCAACATGGCAGTGCCATTTGTTTTGGTATTCTGTGAAAGGAGCAGATTTGGGAACTAACCAAGAATTTGGTTATAGTTATATTACATTTTAGGTGCCTGTTAAGACATCCAAGTAGGTAATGAGTAATCTGAGTTTGGAGTTTTAGGTTCAAATCTCAATTCAGTATTTTAAACTTGAAAGCTACTGACAAGTAAAAGTTAAGATGCCTGAGAGCAAATGAGATTTTTCAAGAGAATCCATGTAGACAAGAAAGGAACCTTGAAGACCAAATACTGGGGAACTCTGGCATTTAAAAAAAAAAGTGGCAATTAATCTAGGGAGTTTATGAGAGAGAGGAATAGGAGATTGAAGAAAAACACTGTTCCCTACACTCAGTGAGGTGTTTAGGTGAATGATTTGTGACCCACGCTTCTGAGAGTATTGAATTCAGCAATGTAGAGCAATTGGTGAGCTTGATGAGCTGTTTGTGTCATAGGACTGAGTAAAAGAGGGTTGACTTAAAGCAACCCTTGCAAAAATTCCTTTGAAAGATTATTTTACGTAAAAATTTTATAGTTGTTATTAGTGTGTACATGATGATGGGGGGTGGTGCATGTTTTAAAAATTCAAAATCAGTCTATGGTTGAGGACTCTTGGAGTTCAGGAAAAGGTTATCCTTTCATGGCACTGGAAAAGATGTCATGGGAAGAGGAATTAGAGGCACCAAGAGGGGTTTAATTTAGGAACTGAGACTTTGAGAAGTACAGACAGGCAAGTTTTATGTTTGCTGCTTGTTTTCTGTTTAGAACTAGTTGATTTTTTTGGTTCAGATGGTCACATAAATTGATTCTGCTGCTTTTGTGGAGGGCAAACTCTATAGCAAAATCACTTAGCTTATTCTGAATGTTAAATGATGAGATTCTAGCTGTTCCAGATAACCAATGAAAACACAATGTTCTCTATTAATTATGTACAAGATTAAGGTTTTGAGACAAGTCATAATGCTATATAATAATGACCATATTTTAATATTTTTAAGAATTGAAAACTTTCTGTTTTTCAAGTTACCTTCAAAACCTCATACCAATTTGCCATTACACTTTTAAAAAGATAAATGTTAGTCCCTGCATCCATATGTTAAAATGGGGAGAGGTCTCATTTGATCTTATCTGAAAGGCTGAGAAATGATAGCATGTGATTATGACTCATTTTGAGATTTGTCCCTACTTTTCCTAAGCTCGTTGCCCCCTTGTAGTTTTCACAGCAACAGTGTGTTTTGCAATTGCTCTTACAATGGATGTTTTGTTTTACTTGTAACACAAAAGTACAAATTATTATAATTATTGCTATTATTATTATTTGGTTTTATTATTATTTAGGTATTTGTATAGTTTTGTTTATTCCAGGAAGTGGTTTATTCTTTGTCTCTACACAACTATACCAATACTTTAACAATAACATTCTTTAGGAGATTGAAAAATCGTAATTTGTTGTGGCAATCTAAAAAAGCAAAATAGATATGTGAGAATTTGGCAGTCATCCTGTCTTCTACCTTAGCTCCTAACATTGCTATTATTTCCCTCTTATCTAGAGTCCAGCACTATAAATTCACCTACTACTAAAATTCCATTTAACATTTAGAGGTTTACTATGGTAAATTTGTATCATGTAAAGCATAATCCCAAATTTGCCAGATTCATGGTAGATTTGTGGCAAATGGTGTATGTAGAGAAATAGTTTCATATGAGAATATTTGATAAGCTGGAATGTGTTACAATTGTTTCCCCCTTTTGCTAACTAAATATAAATTCTTTAAGAACATGCTAATGTCTGGGGCCATGGTTCTTGTTTGTATGCTGTTCCCTGAAGCCAAGTCTATGTGGGTTGGGCTCCCTCTGGGGGCCAAGTCTGGGTCAGTGGTCTACTGCATCTGGGGGCCATCTTGATGTCTGTGCTCTGTGCTCCTTCTGGAAGCATGTCGATGTTCATGGGCCAGCCTGCGCTAAGGCCTATATTGGTTTTTGTGGTCCATGTTGCCCCCGAGGCCATGTTGTTGTCCTTGGCACAGGCTGCCTTGGAGGGGTATGATCATGTCTGTGGCCCATGCTATGACAGAGGTCCATGCTGATATCTGTGTACTGCTACTGGAGACCATGCTGATGTCCTTGGCAAATGCAGATGCCAGAGACCTTAAGGATGTTCGTGGTCTGTGTTGTTGCCAGAAACCTTATGGGAGTCCATGATCTGTGCTCCTTCTGACCGTAAATGGGAAGGAATCTGCTTTTTCAGTGAAATTGATAACTGAAGATGCAAAGTTAAGAAAGAGGGACATAGATTTCCATGACAACTTCTCCCCGCAAAAAAAAAAAAAAGTAACAGCCCAAACAGGAAGCCATTGAAGATAGAACTCTTAAAAACTGTGATAAAGATGCTGAAGTGTAGCTCTGTACAGTTGATGGCTTCTGGTGGGGGTGTGGCTGGGGAAGGACTCAGTTTTCTTTATGGGGGCTAGCCACTCAGAGTGTGACCATGCTCCAGTGAATATATGGGCAACACAAATTGGACTTAGAAGTTTTTTTGTATGTTTGCAGGGGTTGGAGGTGAGTCACAATGGTAGGGGATGGATATGGGAGAATTGGGAAGTGAAAGTGATTTTGAGTGCATGGTGTGAAATTTCCAAATAATAAAGATATTATGTTGTTTATTGATGATAGAGTAATTCAGCAATTTGTGTCTGTTTCTGATCTAAACAAAGATTTGACTTGCCTAAATGTTTGTACTGAGGTATGAGCATGATTTATTTTTACCATGTGGCTTAAATAGATAAACATTTAACCCTAAAAGTTATCTCTCTTCATAATAAATAGTGGTTGGGTTGTGTTGTAAGATCAGTGCACAGCTTTTCTATTGTCTTTTAGAGAAGCATACAGTATTATTTAATGTCTGAAAGGAAAGGTAATTTCGGTATTTTATTTTTCAGAACATCCCAGCTGAACCATCAAGATCTAACGGAAGTAGGGTTCGTCATTCTTCATCTCCGTATGTATTATATCCACCTGATAAGCCTTTCCTTAACAGTGATCTGCGACGCTCCCCAAATAAGCCCACACTTGCCTATCCAGAAAGCAACAGCAGAGGTAATCAACAAAGTAAATGCTGTTTGTTTACTTGTTAGTTAAAACAATTTTTTTACTTGTGTTTTGAAATTAGAACAGTGTAAGTTTCACCTTTATGTCTTTGAATTTATTGTGCATTTCATATTGACTGCTGCACATTATTCACCAAATAATGGAAGCTAAAATACTTTGAGTCACATATTATCAATCTGTCATCTCTAGAATCAGTCAGGAACCAAAGTTTTAGGTAGGGGCCTGAGTGGTGGCTCAGTAATTAAGAACACTAGCTGCTCTTCCAAGAGGACGTGGGTTCAATTCCCAGCATTTACATGGAAGAGCACTATAGGAATCTGATACCTTCTTCTGGTGTCATGCACATGGTGCACAGATATATATGCAGGCAAAACACCCATTACCATTAAATGAATAAATACCTCTGTAAAAAGTGAGGGTCATCTGTAGACAGCACTGACTAGACTCTGAATTACATTTTTGTAAATAAAACAGACATTGTTGAGAGTGTGTGTGTTACAGATCAGGTCCTGGGGCAGTGTGAAAGGAAGCAGATAAATATGTGATCAATGTATGTTACATACGTATATGAAAGTGTCAAAGGATAAACAAAACGAATCCTTTTTATTTTTATTTTTTACTTATTTTAAGCAAGGCATTTTAGCCCATTTCTGTTCCCACTGCTGTGTACCAGAGGCAGACATATCTCTGAGGTTCACTGAGCAGCCAATGTAGAGTTTTAGTGAACCTCAGTTGTGAAAGACCTTGGCTGAACAAACACTGTGTTACCTGAGAAATGGAAGCCAAGATTGACCTGTGACCTCCACATGCAGATTTATGCACTTGTGTGTACATACAATAAAGACTTTTAAGATGTCTGTTCTGTGCCTGTTACTGGGAATATATGAACAAATGTCTGCTTGCCGCAGAGGTACCAACCACAGACAAAAGAAATAATTCCATTAAAGACCATTTTGATGAAGCAGTAAAGTCTATTGAGCTTCCGCACATGAACATGGGCAACCTACAGGTGACTAAGAATGAGTCTTCCCTGAACTGACAGTTAATATCAACTTCTGAGGAATCTCTAGGAAAAAGGACCTTGTATAGTGTGCCTCCTGAGCTGCTTGGTAGGCTTTGTGAGCCTCCTCATTTTTTAGGAGGGAATGTTAGAACACTTTTTTAGGGTCTTCTATGCATAGCCATAGCTGCTGATTTCAGTGCATCATCCAGGGGCCATGAGGTTGACAACATTTAATGGTGTACTTGGGACTGTCTTAATGTTCTGTTGCTGTAAGAGACAGCAGGATGATGGCCACTCTTTTAAAGAAAAGCTTTAATTGGGGTTTGATTATAGTTTAAGAGTGTTTTAGTTCATTATCATGGCAGGGAGCACAGTAGCATACAGGCAGACACCGTGTTGGAAAGAGAGCTAAGAACTCTACACCCAGACCTGAAGGCAGCAAAAAGAGAGACACTGGGAAACCTGAAACCCACCCCCAATGATACACTTCCTCCAACAAGGCCACACTTATCCCAATAAGAAGTGCCATTCCCTGTTGACCAAGTATTCAAATATATGAGCCTATGGGTGCATTTTTACTCAAACTACATTCTACTTTCTGACCCCTATAAGCTTGTAGCTATAACATAATGTTGCAAAAATCCATTCAGTCCAACTTCAAAAGTACCCAAGTGTATCAGATTTTCAACATTATTTAAAAATCTTCTGAAAGTCACAGAAATGTCTTAATTATAACACTGTGTAAAATCAAAATCAAAAAGCAGATCACGTACTTCCAACATATAATGGCACAGAATATATGTTACCATTCCAATAGGGAGGAAAGGGTGTGTACTGAGGAAATACTGGATCAAAGCAAGACCAAAACCAGAAGGACAAACTCTAAATTCTACATCTCAAGTCTGATGTCAAAAATCTCTTCAGATCTTCAACTGCTTTCAGCTTTGTTGACTGTAACACACTTCTTTTTCTTTGGCTAGTTCCACATATCCTTAGCAAAATATCCCACAATTCTGGTATCTACAACAACTTGGGGTTTCCAACACAATCCCAGGCTTCACCTTGACAGCTTCATGCAGTGCTTTCTTTCTATAAGAGTTGTCGTGCTCATAAACACCTTTGACACTTGCCTGCCCTCAGCAGTTTTCCTTAGCCTCAGAGGGAGATTCCACAACCCCTTTCTTGTATTCTTGACTGTAAAGGAAGAAGTAGCACATAGCCAAAGCTGCCAAGTTCTTCTGCTTGCTGGTGCCGGAACTTGGCCCCCTGGTTCAAATACATTTTCACTAGTTTTCTGTTGTAGATGGATTCCTTCATTGCTTAAACTTTCTTTTAATTCCTCTCACAAATTGGAAGCTTAGGTAGGTGAGGTCTTGACCTGCGGTCATAACTCCCTTTATTCCATTTAGCATCCAGCTTTTTACTCTTTTTATCTCTTGAGCATTGGACTTAGTTTTATTACATTTCCTGGAGCTCCTTTTCTCTTTATGCTATACATTTTGTATTTTTTTCTTGTCAGCTTGCTCCTTTTCATTATAGATTCGCATAAGTATGACCACTAATAACCAAGCCACACAGTTAATAGATTGCCTTTGAAATCTCCCCAAAGCCATTAATCCAATATTCTTTAATTTTGCCTCAGGCAGATTTTTTTGGACAAGGTTAGAAAGCAGCCACATTCTTTACCAAAATATCACAAGAATGGTCTCTAGGCCACTTACTGATATTCTTTTCTGAAATCTCTTGAGAGGGGGCCATCATAACCTATACTGCTCTCAGCACTGCTGTCTTCCACACTCCTACTAGTAGGGACCATTAAGCCCCACTTAAAGTGTTCCACTGCTTTTCTAATCCAAAGTCCACAAGCAGCGTAGTCAGCTTTGTCACAGCAATACCAACTACAGTTTTAGTGTTCTGTTCTGTCAAGAGACATCATGAACACCCATAATTCTTACAAATGAAAATGGGGCTTGTTTATGGTTTCAGTGGTTTAAGACTATTGTTATCGTGGCAGGGAGCATGGTGGGATGTAGCTAGATCTGGTTCTGGAGAAGTATCTTTGAGTTCTACATCTCAGCAGGGAGAGAGAGACACTGGGCCTGGCTTGGTCTTCCGATTGAAACCTCAGAGTCCACCCCAGTGACATTTCCTCCAACAAGGCCTTATCTACCCCAACAAGTAGTGTTAGTCCCTGTTGACCAAATATTCAAATATAAGCCTATTGGGGTCATTCGTATTTAAAGCACCATAGGTCAGTTGTGAATTGAAGCATAATTAGCCAAGAGAGTTTTGTTTTGTTTTTATTTTTTTTTCCATATTTTTTATTTTTCTTTTTTTTCATTTTTATTATTTTATTGTTTTGTTTTTAACTTATGAAATAATGGTTGGTTGTTTTTTTTTTAATGATTTGCTACTTGACTTGACTTGCATCAGTCTTCTAAAATTTTCTTTTCAGAACTAGGCTCTATGGCTCATACATATAACTCAGCCCTTGGAAGGCTAAGGCAGACAATTGCTGTGACTTTGAAGTTATCCGGGCATACAAATCTCTTTTTTTGATGAACTTCTCTGTATGCATTGTTGACTTGGGTGTGCATTTTCTATTTGGCAGCCATATTTTCTGCTCTTAAGAATCTTCAAGATAAGATTCGACGCCTAGAACTGGAAAGGATTCAGGCAGAAGAAAGTGTGAAAACCTTGTCTAGGGAAACAAGTGAATATAAAAAAGTATTGGATGAACAGATACAAGAGAGAGAAAATTCAAAGAATGAAGAATCAAAACACAATCAAGGTTTGTTAATTATGAAAGAAACTAAAATCTATCCAAATATTGTACATTATTTTAGAATTCCACATTGGTATTTTGTAGTGGTCACTGTCTTTAGCGACTACAGAATTACATCATAATCAGGTGATTGTGATGAGCATGTGACATCACTGCTTATTGGTAGTGTGTGTCATATTTCAATCGCAGAAGAAAGAACATAATATCTTCCAGAGAGGTTTCTAGGAGTACTGAAAGGGAAGAGACTGGCAGTTTGTTTTGTAGTATTCTTACATACTGAGCAAGCACTCTACCACGAACCTTAGCTCTGGACCAGTTCCTGTTTACAAGCTGTTGGGACAAGCCTATGTGTTAGCTAATTACTACTTTTTTGTATGTATTTATTTTAGAACTGACATCCCAGTTGTTAGCTGCAGAAAATAAATGTAATCTTTTAGAAAAACAATTGGAATACATGAGAAATATGATAAAGCATGCCGAAATGGAGAGGACATCTGTCTTAGAAAAGCAGGTATGACATCTCCCAATTGAAATCAAGCAAGAATGGAGACAGATAATGGAAGACCTCAGAGAGGCCTGATGGCACCATTGTTTTAACTCCATGCTGGAATTTCTTAGGTGCAGTGTGGTAGATGGCGGTTTGATCGCTTTTATTTATTATGATTGTTGTACTTCTTAGACTTGTGCTTAAAATTTGAAAAACAATCTTTCATGTTAATGTCTTGGAGTCCGAATTATCAAATATGTAAAATAACCCTATGTACCTCTGAAATCCACTGATCTTAGTAAAATTCCATGCAGTTAAAAAATACTTTATAATTAACTTGCTTATTGAAACAGGGTTTTGTATAGCCTTTGTGGGTTCATTTATGTTGTCCAGGAATGATCTGGACCATCTGATCTTCTGGACTCCATCTCCAAAGTGTTGAGATTACAGGCACACACCACTATGCCTGGTGTATGTGGTACCACTGTGGATCACCCCTTCTGGTGCTAGGCAAGCACTCTACCAAATGAGCTATATGCCAAGCTACTACACTTGTTAAAATTTATATCAGTGTCCAGTATAGATTTTAAATATCCTTTTCATATGAACAATTTAACATGCTTAGATGCTAGATAATCTCCAGTTGTAAAAGAGAAATACCATTTTCTAGCCCCTGTCAACTTTTGGTCCCAGTTTGAGAAATGATACTTAAATGCAGTTATATACAGTGTTTGGAAAGATGTGCCAGTGATTAATCTCAGGTTACCCATCTCTTGACTGTGTGATTGCTTGGATTGTTTGTTAGTATTCATAGCTCTCTTATAATTCCCCATTGTCATGGACATGTGAAGAAATGGCAGTGTGGCATACTCAGGTGCTTAGTGTTGGACTTTTCCAAATATATCCATCTAGTATATTTGCCCATTTATTTTGATTTGTTTATTCATTCCTTAAATATATAGGCAATCTTTCCAAATGAGACCCTAGGTTTGGAGGGAGAAAGTATATTTTGCTTTCAAAGAAAATAAATACTTAATGAGTTCCCATAGTTATTAACAGGTTACTTAATAGGATCAGACTGACTGGAAGTATTTGTGTATTTATGTACTCTGTGTCTCTACTAAATTTATTCTAGGGTGTAAGGATATTTTCATTAATATGAAACCACATACCAGGAAAATACTGTAATTAAGATTAATATTCCAATATTCCAAGGCTGGTGAGATGGCTTAGTGGATAAAGGCATTCGCAGTCCCAGAAAAGCCAAGCTTGGTCCCTGGGACCCACATGGCAAAAGAGGGAACCAGCTCTTTTGTGATGTCCTCTGACCTCCAAAGGCATGTGAGACTCAAAGATTACTATACCACTTAGGTCTTCTCTTAGTGTTCGATTCCTAGAATCCATTTTCATTCCCAGTAGCTCTGTGAAAGGACAGGCAAATTACAGGTAGTATGATACTGGATTATTTGCAGTGTTTTTAACTTTTTTATTATCATACTGTATTTTGATGCTGTTTCTCAGGTTTCCTTAGAAAGAGAACGGCAACAAGATCAAACCCATGTTCAGAGCCAGCTGGAAAAACTGGATCTTCTTGAACAGGAGTACAACAAGCTCACCACAATGCAGGCCCTTGCAGAAGTCCGTGAACATGACTTTTACTCACGTAGAATGCTGTGGTTGTCACTAGTTTTCTCATAAACGTGTATATTTATAATGTAAAGGTCTTGTACATTAAAGAAAATATTCATTTTTAAGTTTATTAAAACTGCATTTCTTTAAAAAGAAAAGATAATTTAAAAAAATGTTGGCATTTTGCAATCTTGGTAGTTGGACATGAGATAGTTCTTTTTGAAAACTGAAAGGTGAAATGTTTTTGATACTTAAAACTGGCAGCATGTAATTTTTTTTAACTAATTTTACTTTTGTTTTCCTTGGGAGATATTGTAAAGATCTAGATTTATCTTTATGTAGTCTTTACCTTTATACAAAGCTGTGTTCTTTGGCCATAGACATTTTTTTCCCCATAATTTGGCCATTTAACTCAAAGCTACCTCACTAATGACTATTAGTTGATCTATTAGGATACTCTTGGGAGAATGTCATTGATATTATCTAGGCCTGGTCCAATACTCACATGAACTAATATGCCTTGACTATCCTTAAAACTCTACAAAAAGATAACTTTTTTGACGTTGTTATCACTAGAAAAAAATGCAAGAGTTGGAGTCAAAACTCCGTGAAGAAGAACAGGAAAGGAAGCGTATGCAGGCTCAGGCAGCAGAGGTGAGTGGAAAAATAAACAGTTAAACACCGTGTTCTAATGGTTACTATTTACACATGCGCATGCCAGCTTCCTATATTGACCTCAGAGATAGCTTAGTATTGGAAATTAGGAATGTAATTTTGCAAAGTAAAATTTGAGCAGTTCTTTGGATGTTTCAAGTTACAGAGTCTGGATCAGTAGTTGAAAAATCCATGAGGTTGGAGCTAGAGAGATGGTGCAGAGTATTAGAGCATTTGGTTGTCCTTGCAGTGGACCTGACTTGGATTCTCAGCAACCCACATGGTGGCTCACAATCATCTACAACTCTGGTTCTATAGAGGCTGACACTCTTCCAGCGCCTGTGCACCAGGCACATGTACATACATAAATGTAGGCATAATATCCATACATGTAAAATATAAAAAGCACTTGTGGGGTAAAAACATGTCAGACAGAGAAGTGTTTGTGTAGAGCATAGGTGTGATAAGCTACTACCAGATCATTGAGTATCCAGTGTACATGTGTGTCTTGGGTTGGAGTTACAATTGAGTGGAACAACTGCCTAGCCTTCATAAGACACTTGGTTCAGTCCTCAGTGCTGCAACAACAAAGCTGCCACTTTTCCTTGAAACTATTAAGATACCAGGACACACATTTTTTATTTTTATTTTATATACATTGGTGTTTTGACTGCATGCATATCTGTGTGAGGGTGCTGTATCCCCTGGAACTGGAGTTACAGTTGTGAGCTGCCATATGGGTGCTGGGATTTGAACCCGAGTCCTCTGAAAGAGCAGTTGGTGCTCTTAACTTCTGAGCCATCTCTCCAGCCCAGGACAGTTGCCTACTCTAGTAGAAGAATGAACTCTCTCCTAGTTTTGAATTTTATACCATGCAGTGGCCAGCCACCTGGTGGTAGAACTTCTAGATTCAAAGCATATGTTTATGTATTCCAGCCAAAACTGCATTATATAAGACACAGTGACAATAATAAAGTCCTGTTTAGGCTCTGTAAGATAAAGTTTTATATTTTAAATAGAGACTTTCATCTGATTATTTACTTGCATATTTCCCAGATCATCTTTTCCAACTTCTTTAAGATTATGCTAGTGCATGACTTTTATTATAGTAACCAGGAAGCAGGTCCTGGTCTCAGAAGTTATCAGTGGAGACTTTGTAGTATAGTCTGGTGCATCGTGTCTAGTGCCCTGCATTCTCAGGTGTCATTGCAGGAATACATTACGGTATCTTTCTTCTAGTAATTCTTTGAATCATTGATTAAAACTGATAGGATTTGTAGATCTACTCTTTCTCTGTGTTTGTTGCATTAAATGGCCACTTAACCATTTTTGATTAAGGGAATTTGTTCTGATGTTAGGGAAAACTATTTTACTGTGTCTCTGCTCCTCACATGTAAAATTGAGGGTTAGTGTATAGTCCTTGTATGCTAAGTAGAAATTTTCACAAATTCACTGATTGATGAATTATTATCAGTTTGAGCTCTGATGGCGAACACTATGGTAGTGGAAGGCCGGTGTTGAGGGAGATGCTTTTCTATTTCTTGCTGGTTCTGGTTTATATACTTGAACAGATTATTTAACCATTCAGAGCCTGGGTTTTTTAGTGCTAAAGAACTCACATAAGAAATGATAAGAGAAGCACTTTAAAACCCAGGCACACATATAAGATGTCAGCTAGAAAAATAGAGGCATGAGCCAAAGTCAAAAAGTAGCTCTTAAATGGTTCCCCTGTTTCTGTTCACACTTGCTGACATTGTAAATATTCCAGAGGGATGCTTGCTTGTGGAGTTATGTCTAGTATAAAGTATTTCTCAGTATGGTCAAGGGTGTCATGTTCTGAGGGTGGAGAGCCCAAGACTGTGTCCTCAGAGTGCATGATGGGGAGGGTGTGTTCTTAGTATTACTTGCATTTCATTCACTACTTCTGCTGTTTCTTAAAAGTCAGTCATAACTTCTGGGGAACTTTTCCTCACATAGAAATTTTAAACTTTTTAGGGAAGAAATCTGGTTTTTGGGATTTTTACCAAATTCAGACTATTTTTGGTATATAGAGAGGCAAAAAATAATCACGTTTATAGATTTTTGGAGAGTGTGGCTGTTGAAAGCTAGTTCAGAGAAATTTGCAGCTTCCCCCCCCCCCAAGATTTATGTTTTATGTATAAGGGGGTACTGCCTACTTGTCTGTATGTGTGCCACATGCATGCAGTGCTTGCAGAGATCACAACAGGGTGCTGGATCCTTGAACATGGGGTTAGATGATTAAAAGCTGCCATGTGGGCAGGTGCTGAGAACAGGGCCTCTGGTAGCAGCAGCCAAAACGTGCTCTTAATGCCTGAGCCATTTCTCCACCACAGACAGTGCAACTTAGAAAAACAAAAAACGATTGTAGAATTTTTACCATAAGTGTAACATTTGCTGAAATAATTTTTGCCAATTTTGAGTTTAAAAAGGAAGAAGTGTATTTTGCTCTTGAGCTGCTCTTAGTCTGGTTTTAGGGTAATCATGTTTTTTACAGCATGATGTCCGTTTGGAGCTACATGCATTCCATTTAATTCCTGAGTAACCACCAGTAGTGAAACCGTGCTTCCAGGGAAGACGTGAACAACTGTAGCTCAGCAGTGCACACAAATGAGAGACTAAAGACATACTGTACAGCCATGCTTTTTTTCATTGAGATGATGTATTTTATAGACTTTTTTATATATCTCAAATGTGAATTAAAGCTTTTATTTTACAGTATTGACTTTGTGCTAATTTTTTTTTTCTAGTTGCAGACTGGTCTAGAAGTTAATAGACTTATTTTTGAAGATAACACAACTTCATATATTCCAACCAGCAATAGAAGAATTAAAAGAAAAAAGTCTAAACCACCAGAAAAGGTATGAAAACTGAAATCAGTCAAAGTACCAATTTTATTTAGAAAACAAAAGCCCTATGGTATTAAAACCTTGGAACAGTAAGTCTCGTTTACTCTTAGTTTCTATACTCAAAAGTGAAGTAAAATTTACTCAGGAGTTCTTACCCTGGTTGTGAGGCCCTATATGAAAGCATTGGTAACTACAGAAGAACATAAAAATACTAGGAATATTCAGCCTGTGTTCAAATACTTGGTGAATACTGTTCCTGTAATTCTGACATGTTTTCTTAGTGCTGACCATCACTCTTAGCCTTCAAGTAATACTAGGTTGCTTAACACTATATGATCCCAATATAAACAAATGGTGTAGTGTGAATGTAAAATGTCCCCTATTAAGTCAGCGGAAAGCAGTCCTAGAGGTTTTTATTCTGGCCCACCTCCTGTCTTCTGTCTCTACTTCCTGACTGTTGGTGCAGTGTGATGAATACCCACCCACCCCCAGGCTACTACTGCCATGCTTTTCCATGATGGGTTGTTAGCCTATAGTTTGGTTCAAGTAAACCCCTCCTTAAGTAGCTTCGGGAAGCCTTGATTCTGCTTGGTCACAGCAGCAGAAGAAGTGACTGGTACAGCAAGGTAGTCGGCAGTTCACAGTGAGTTGGAATGCTAGGTTAGTTCACCAAAATAAAATAAAATAAAATGGTTTTCTTTTTCTCCATCAGAGAAGTTCTAGAAACTATTTTGGTGTACAGCCACATTACAGATTGTGCTTAGGCGATATGCCTTTTGTTGCAGGAAAGGTGAGTTGTAGCTATTGATTTTTCTGTTTAAATTATTTCAGTGTCTTTTGCTTTTTTCTTTTTAAGTTTATGATCCCATACACTTTAAGTGTATGGGTGTTTTGACTATCTGTGTGTCTGTGTACCATCTCTGTTTAGTGTTCAGAGGCCAGAAAAGTGTGTTGGATACCCTGGGACTAGTGTTACAGCTTACAGTGTAAGCTGCCATGTGGGTGCTGGTAATTGAACCTGGAATTCCACTGGAAAAGCAGCCAATGTTCTTAACTGCTAAGCCATCTCTCTGGCCTATTTCAGTCTTTAGAACACATTTTGGGGGATATAAGCAAGCTTTGAACTGGAATCGGGAGTACATGTTTCCTCCTAACTCTCTGTATAAACTTCTGTAAGTATGGTTGTAATGTTATTTTTTTATACAAACTTTTGTTTTTTATTTTAAAGTGTTTATTACAAACTTTGTTTTCAGAATGAAGAAATGGGGAGTGGGGTGCACTGATGGCCCCCGTACATGAGAAGGTCAGGGTACAACTTGAAGGGAGTTTTCTCTTTCCACAATGGGTTCTGGAAATAGAATTTAGGTCACCACACTTGTTGAAGTTGCTTTATGTATTTAGGAAATGTTATTCCAAAAGTTTAAGAAAACAAAATTCCTTAGCTGACCTTCTCTGTGGGTTTTGAAGAACCTGTTTATAAATTACTTATTGTTATAGAGCCATTCTTATGTAATAGGTAATAAAAATGAAACACTAGAAAAGATTATAAGCCCAAATTTTTCATTACATTATGAAATGCAACAGTAACAAAACTTTTCATGACTTGTTCATTACATATTAAAGTATACACATCAGCCATTACACTCTCTCTGCGTAAATAAGTGACTGCTAAGTAGTGATTATTCTGATTGTCATTAGCCACTTTTACATTCCTTGGGTCACTCCATTTGGGTTTAGCTGTAGGATTCTTTTCCCAATGCAACTAATCAGGACAAGCTTAGGCAACATTTTTAAGCAACAAGCACATTAGGTCTTAAGTTCTTCCCCCAAGTCTGCATTTTAAACAAGCTGTCTGCTGGTGGCTTATGGAGTTAAAGACAAGCCCAGCTAACAATTGAGATTATTTTCTATCGGAAACAAGTTCATGAAAGCTACCGGGTTTTATTCTTTATGTTGTGGCAGATATAGATATACTTCAGTACTTCCTACTATTTAAAGAAACCTGAGCATGGTGCATACCTGTAATCCCAACCCAAGAGGCTAAGGCAGGAAGCATGCAAACGAGAGAGACAGAGAAAGAGAACTATAATAGTGGAGACCACATGCCAGGTGGTGGTAGTGCACACCTTTAATCCTAGCATTTAGGAGGCAGAGGCAGGCATCTCCAGGTTCAAAGTCACCTTGTTCTACATAGTGATTTCCAGGACAGTCAGGGCTACACAGAGAAAACCCTGTCTTGAAAAACAACAAAATGTTTTTAAAATGTGCACTGAGTCTAGAATAGTGTTTCTCAACCTGTGGGTCATGACTCCTATGCCAGTCAAAAAGGGTTGCAGCATTAGGAAAGTTGAGAATCCCTGCTCTAGGCTCTGGAAGAACAGTTGAATATGTAGAATAGATATGCAGGCACATAGAGTATATTGTGATAAACACAATGATAGACAGATACAGAAATTGCCAATAGGCAAAGTGAAGCTGATAATCACCCAGGCCTTTAGAAATATGGTTATATTTGATCTAGGCTTTAAGGCATCATGAAAAACAAACAAACAAACAAAAAGTCATGTGCAAATAGTTTGCTCACAGAATAAGTCAAGGGACCATAGAAGGTAAAGCAGGAAGTGCAGGCTGTGCCCCACAGTTAGAGAGCTGTTTTCTCCATCCTAGAGTTTGACTGCTTGAGGGCCTATCACAGGATTTCAGGTAGAGTAATGATAAGGGTAATGATAGCCAGGAACAAGAAGCTGAGGCAAGGCCATTTGAGCTGTTTGGTTTTGGTGGTGTTAAGTGGTGTTGAATCCCACTTATTGGGCACACGGTGAACAATTTCTGGCCCTCTTGCCTCTACCTCCCAAGTGCTGGAATTACAGGTGATCACCACCATACCCAGTTTATATAACGCTAGGGACAAAAGAAGGGCCTCATAATTGTCACTTAAGCACCTGCCAGCTGAGCTGCAACCCCAGAAGGCTGTTCTTTATTAACTAAAGAGGTAGGTACATCAACCAAGTGTGTAATGGTGGATGGGTGGCTACTAATTTGCCACACTATAGTAATTTATGCCTTAGGCTTTGGAGGGGCAAAGTAAGGCTTTACTCTTACCTAGATTAAGAAATAGAAAATGGGAATAGAGGGTACTGCTTGCTTGACTTTCCTTTCTCTTTAGTCCACCAGTCCCAGTCATGCTGTGGTAGCCAATGTTCAGCATGTATTGCATCTGATGAAGCACCACAGTAAAGCTTTGTGCAATGACCGAGTTGTTAACACTATTCCCCTGGCAAAGCAAGCCTGTTCACGAAGTATTAAGACTAAGAAGTCAGTGATGCCTCCATCCAGCACGGTTAATGAAGAACTGTCAGAAGTCTTACAGACTTTACAGGATGAATTTGGGCAGATGAGCTTGTGAGTTTTGAGTTCTTGAATTTAAAGTTACATTTGGTTCTAAAATTTCATTTTTAGCTGCTTGAATTTATTAAGCCTAATTTTGTTAACAAATGTTACACTAGCCCACTGGCTGGAAGTTAAATAAACATAACTATCTGGCTAAACCCCCCTTTCTAATTGTGTTAGATGCCGACTGCCAAAGCTTAGGTAAGAGCTTGATATCATTGAGGGTTAGCCAAATGTAACTGACGAGTTGGAACAGTGTTTGAAAACTGGTGTCCTGTAAAATTTGCTTTATATGTAATACTGACAGAGGGAGCAGAAAGTAGATAAAAGGATGAACCAAACCTGTCTGGAATTAAGAATACTTGAATATATCTTCATTTTGTAAACATTTATTTTATTCATGTGTGTATCGTGTGTTCAAGTGCCCACGGAGGCCAGAGGGCATCAGAGCCTCTGGAGCTGGAGTCATAGCTGGTTGTGAGCCACCTACGTATCGCATGCTTGCTGGGAACTAAATTCAGATTCCCTGGGAGAGCAGCATTTTGTTAAAAAGCAAAATGGGTCATGTTTTAAAGAGTGCTGAGCCCCATGCTGAGATCTAAAGGACATAACGTTAAAAATGGGAAGTTTAAAGTAGTCCCATTGTGTTTTCCATGCAGCGATCACCAGCAGCTTGCTAAACTCATCCAGGAGTCACCAACTGTGGAACTAAAAGACAACTTAGAGTGTGAACTGGAGGCTTTAGTGGGAAGAATGGAAGCAAAGGCCAACCAGATAACTAAAGTGCGAAAATACCAAGCACAGGTAGCTCCTCCCTTCACTTGTCTGTCATGATTCACTTGTCCCCTTTCATATATGTTGATGACACTGTCTTTACCTGTCTAAGCTGTTCCTGTGAATTGTTTTTAAAAAAGTCTGTGTTAAGTGGTTTACTTAAAGAAGTTCTGAGATTTCATTCAAGTCTTTACTGAATGTATTTAATATCCTTAGCTTTATAAACACACTGAACTGGTTGAGTTTGACTAAATTGTCTAACATACAGTTAGAACTTGTTGGTTTCCAAAATAGTAAATATGTGAAAAAGTAGTACATTTGCTCATACTAAGTAATGACTCAAAGGTTTACTCACATTAAATAAACCCACTCAGGGCGCTTATCAAGAGCAACACACCATGTATTTGAGATTACTGTGAAACAGAGCAAGGACAAAGGAGGAGTCCAACTCCTGGGCTGACAATAATTTGGAGTTTGGAGGAGAAGTAGATTTTAGAAGTTAAAATATCAAGCTACCAGATGCTGCATGATATGGAAGAATTGTTTCACTGATACAATACCAAGTATCTGAGAATGTCATCCTATTTAATTTCCATAAACCCCCTGTGAAGTGGGTGGTTCCCATTTTATAGGCGAAGAAACTGGGACCTTATTTCTAAGATATGGCCCTATTCTCAGTGGAATGAAATAAGTAGCTTGCCCAAAGAAATCCAGGCTATGGTTAATGGTGAAGCTATACTTCATCTTTCTCCTCTAGGAAAATATCGCAGTATTAGTTTAATAAATATTCTTACGTACCTGGTTGTGTATCTTCACACACTTAAGTACTGAATCGTAAATGATTTAAGATTTCTGCACTTTATGTGCCCACCTAGAATCTATCATTTGAGTGTTAAAGGAAGATTATTTAAGTTATTGGTGCACTGAAGAGGTTGAGGCAAGAGAATCAAGAGTTTATGACTGTATGTATAGCAAGACTCTGTATCAAAAACAAAGTACCTGAGCTAAAAGAAAATGTTTTTATTGAATTCACTTTTTCTTCTGCCTTGATTATTTGGATAGCTGGAGAAACAAAACATAAATAAGCAGAAGAAGGAATTAAAAGTTAACAAAAAGACTCTTGATGAAGAAGGAAATAGCAGCAGTCGTTCACCTGGAGTCACAAAGACCACAAGTAAGAAGGATTTTGCCAAACAGAGACCTGGAGAAAAAAGCAAGAAAAATCTTCAGTTACTGAAGGACATGCAAACCATACAGAATTCATTGCAGAGCAATAATCCGTGTTGGGACTACTGATACCAGGTCATAAATAATGTACCTTACCGGATAATGACAATAGACTTTTCCAGGTTTCATGTTTGCTAATGTTGCCATTACTAGCAGGTGGTAAGGGGCCCAATTTTCATTACACAATCTCTTGTGTTATAGCACAACTAAATGGAAATGGAGTTTTACAGGCTGAGAAGCTGCAGTGTTTCTTTGAATTTGCTGTATTCATATACTGCATTTTGTAAACAAATGATGAGCTTTTTTTACTTTGTGGGTGTGTTTTTAAGTAGGTGTAGATATATATATATATAAATTGGGTTTGAAAATTCAGAATATGGGGCGGTCTCCATAGTCAGTGCTTAAAAAGTCTTGTTTCTAAATCTTCCCATAGCATGAAGTGCCCACTATTTTTCCTTCTCCATATGACCATTAAATGTACTATCTTCAACTGCTGATAGAGACTTTCTGTATTTAAATATTTATATATTTAAGAGGACTTTGTTTTGCTTTTTGGTGTTTCAGATGTTCATCAGTATTGAATTCACTGTTAAACACCCAAACATTTTAAGTCAGTTACCCATGAAATATGTAACAATTTCTTTATAAAACCATAAACAGTTGTTAATGAACTTTTGCAATAAAGACTTAGGAGAAGGGAGATGTTGTAAAGTGTACGCATTTGCAGATTTTAGACAATCCCTATCTGTAATCATGTTATTCATTGAAGCACTGGTTTTTAATCTTGACTCTTAGAAAACCCCATGCTTTTTTAGCACATAGTATAACAGTAGAATGTGAAGAGAACACACAGCTATCATTATGTCAATTTAAATTATAATTTTGAATAGATGGACATGTTAAACTTCATAAATTTGGTACTTGAAATAAATAAAGCAATTTTTAAATTTAACAGTCAGCTGACAAAAGCTTTATTTGTTGTACAATCCCAAATGTGCATTATTAGTATCCTGATTGAGAAACAAGAGTACTCAATGCATGTCTGTTATTCTTGTGCTTAGAGACCTAAGCCCAATGTGACTGAACGGTTTAGACAGGCTGGTGAACATGCTAGTCATATACTATAATAACTGAGAAGCTTAATAGCATGAATTGTTTGTGCTACCTGGGCACTCACTGGAAGTTGCCTAGTCTCTTGCTGAATTAATATTCTAGTTAGAATCTTTATATAGATTTTTTTTTTTGAGATTTATAAATCTCCAGTAATTATATATAAACCTTTACTTGTGTGTGCAATTTTCTGATGAGCAGGTTTGCAGCAACAATGAAGTGACAACTGAGTTCATAGACCCCAGAAAGGTGAGAAACTGCTCTGGTGATATGGTAAATATTTCCATCTCAACCACCATTCTGTTTACTCCTTGTTTGAATTTCAGGACATTAAACTGAATAACTCATTTGAATAGAAATGGCTCCAACTCCTAATTAGAATAGTAATTGAGAGATGCTAAATCCTACCTATCTCCAGCTGGATCCAAAGTGTAGGGCTTTGGGTTTTGATCCTGCTTGTTTCTTGTTCACTCACTCACAGCAGAGTTCCCATGTATTCTCTGTACAAGTTGACAACATGGATCCCATGCTGAGTAAGAAAGGAGTGCTTTCAAGCTGGGGGAAAATGTGAATTGTTACCTCGGTACTATATACCAAGAAGACAGCTGAATTCCACATAAAGTGCTTTTAGTGTGTACATTATACACTGAAGATATTTTGGAGGTCATAGAACACGTTAGAAGGTTTAGAAGGGAGACTCGACAGAGTTCCTCTTATATTCTCTGGCTTCTGAGTAAGTGTATGATCACCTTTAAAGTCTGGATCCCATCAGCATTCCTTTGTGTCATACCACAATGATAAAAGTTTCAATGAGGAAGCAGACTAGAGAGGAAAGTGTGAACTACGTAGAAACCTTACTTGAATGCTAGTTAGTAACATAAATACCTCCTAAAATTTTTCTAATAACTAATTTTGCACCAACCAAATCATTTGGTACCAATTTTGTTAACACTGGGTATGCTGGGGATATAGTTCAGTAGTACAGCACTTGCCTTGTAAGTTTAAGACTCTAGGTTCAATGTCCACTTAAAATATCCAAGGAAAAACAAAGAGAAGAAGAGCTCTGTGTGCATATGTATATGATGTACTAATTCCAACATCAGCAACAGGATATAATAAATTAAAGAACTATATATATATACACATATATATATATTTAGTTTGATTTAGGTGTCAAAAAGCCTGGGGGGGGGGGGTCAAATTGAACATTTCTAGGTAACATTTTGGGAGTTAGGGAGGATACTTTAGACAACTAGACAGGACAAAGTTTGAAGTCATTTAATTAAAAGACCAAGTGGTACGAAGTTCCTTTGTTACAGTACATTACATATGGCTCTTATACAGAGTAAAATAGACACCAGCACCCTACTCAGGTGAGCAGAGAAGCGAGGCTTTACTTGCTGATACTGAGACTAACTCTTTCAACATGCAGTGTTCTTTGGTAGTGTTCATGTGAAATTTAAACATGGCACTAAAGTCAGACTTTTAAGGTCTTAGAATACTGTTTTAAAACTTGCCAATTATCATCAACATAAAGTGGAGTAATAAGGTTTTAAAATGTCTTCTGTGATGTTTATGATCAACATACAAATGTAAATTCATCTGAAAGGCGTATACTGTTCTTTGAATTCTTGGATGACAGCTACTACTTTGTCCCTTCATCCCCTCAAAGCACATATATAAGGCATCATTTCCTAACTGCTGTTGCGAATACCCTAGTTACAATGTCAGCAATTACTACTATGCTGTAATAGTCTCAAGGCAATGCTTTTTACTAAATTGGGAAATTTGACAAAGGAGCAATTTTGACCTGACAGACATCAAGGCTCTAAGTATGCTCTCTGTAAAAACAGCTGCTCTTGTTTTTCTCCCACCTAGAGAACTTAACCAGGTCCTCAGTTCTTAAGACATTTTGAAATGAAAAACTTGTACCCACCGTGGATACTGGACTGCACTACTTTAGTATTCTTTGGGTGACTTAAGGTTAGTGTCATACTTTAATTACAAATGATCTCCATTGTCACCTGCAATGCTGTTTCTAAACTCATCTAAGAGAGACTTGAAATAAATCTCCTGTAGATGGATTTAAAACATGAAAGGCTTTCTACCCATAAGGTGCTGTGATGCAGAGTTCCTGACCTAATAGTCCTTTCATACAACAGTTTGGACAGGAGTCACACACTGTGCAGGAGAGCTGGCTCTTTCTGAAGAAGAGGTTGAGCGGTTGGAAATTTCTCTCTGAAGTTCCTCTACTTTTCTCTGAAGCTCTGCTCTTTTGGCAAGAAGTTCTTTGTATCTGCTGTGGATAGGTTCCTGCAAGAGCAAACAAAATCACTGCAATAGGAATCCCAGGCAAAGTAGATTTTAACCATCCTTGAGCTTTCTGGCATTGGCTGTTTCAGCTGTTGGACAGCCCCACCTTCAGTTCCTCAATGGAATCCACATGTTTTGTTGTCACCACTGATCTTTCAGTGGCTTCAGGTATTCCAAGAAGATGCTACTTTGCAAAGTCATCATTTAGTTAAAACTCTTCGGGACTATGGACCTGCAGTTTTTTGGCTTTTAAAAAAAGCTTTTCTTCAGTATACTTAAAGACCACACAGAAAGATGTGTGTAGTCAGGAAAGTCTCCTGACAGAGTGGAAAGTTTTGAGAGTGACAAACCTAGGAGAGTCATAGTGTATGTACATTGTAGATGTGTACCTGTGGTTTCATCCGGGGGTTCCACCTTATATAATATCCCACCCAGAGCTCTAGGTGGCGCATGCTGGCTACTGGGTAAAGGACATGATTGGAGTAGCTCCCATAGAGAGGATTAGTGAAGTCTTCCAGCTGGCTGTTTATGTAGGACCACAGTGACACCGTCCTCTTAGGAAGATTCTGTAAGAGGGAAAATAGATAAAGATCCTCCCCTACCACATCAGCCATTTAAACCTTAGATGAAACCTATGTTGGGCTGTGTGATCTTTAAAATCAACAAAAGAGGATGCTCAAGATAGGATCAGAGTTCATCCACATTGGGTAGCTGAAAGCACCAGCTCGAGGGCATTCAATACCTTCTGGTCTCCCCAAACACACACACTCCACACACAGAAAAATAAAAGTGCTCCATATGGTTAAGGCAATACTGTTTACAACAGCCAAAATAAAAATACAAAGGACCACCAACTGATGAGATACACATAATGCAAGATTATTTGAGCACGAAGAAAAAGTGCATGCTAGGACATAAATATTGAAAAGATAGTAAAGGTGACGTGGATGATTCCATTTACATGAAGTGTTCATAAGAGGCCCATCCATAGAGAAACCTGATCAGTATCTGCCCAAACCTAGAGGAGGACTAACAAGTTTGGGATGACTTCTGTGTGGTGAAAATGCTCTAAATTTTAACAGTGTTGGTCCCACAATTCTGTGGTTATAAAAGAGGGTTTCTGTGGCATTTAAATTATATGAATAAAACTTTTAAATCAAGGGTAGTTTCTCAACAGATTGACTGTAATTACAGTACTGCTGTGCTATTTGTGATTATCTAATATGCCACAACATAATGAAAGCCTACATGCATGGAAATACATTCACTATAAAGTAAAAATACAGTCACTATAAAGTATGCTTACAAGGTACAGTCTGGGGAGCACTAATTTCCACAACAGTAAACACTGTCCCTGTTTCACAAAAACAAATGAACTTGCATAATAGTGAGTCTAACATCTGTAATAGGGCTTTCCAGTGTGAATACTCTCCCAGAATAACCTACTTTCTGACCATGCTTTCTGAGTAAAACTTGATGTCCACGAGGGCTCTACCAATACCACCAACAGTTTCTACAAAGAATGGTTCTTTTGCTGTAGCAAGACTGAACCCGACACTGAGCCTGTACATCTCCAGCATCTTCTCTCTGCATCTTTTCTTCAAATTTATTTTGAGAGGATCTGTGTTTAAAAAGCTAGCCTCAGATTTGTGGTCCTTCTACCTTAGCCTCTAGAGTATCTCGGATTATAGGTGTGATCCCTTATCCCCACTTATAGGTAGAAGTAATCCTAGTACATTTTGTGAAGTACAATATAACTACATACATACCAGAGTGAGAGCCAGAGCTCATACTTTACCTCTTTTCCCCTCTGCTGTTCACTGTTACAGAGGAATGTTCCAAATAAACAGCTGTACAAGTGGTCCAGGATGGTAATGAGAAAATACTCGTTGAATTCAAATGCAGTAGGGAACTGCAAATTGAGCACCACAAACTTGAGACATTATCAAGCATATTTATCTGTCACAAGCAGACCTTTTAAAATAGTACTTAGATTTAAAACTACCTAAGCCATCATGGCATTATCTGTTTTCCAAGGCAGAGTCTCTCTCATGCAACAAGTACTGCATGGTCTTAGGTCTGCTCTGCTTTGACCTTACAGTTGCCAGCCATTGAATTCTGACTTGGAACAATTCTGGTGAGTCTAGTCTTCCTTTCTTAACTTTTCTTTTAGTTTTCAACATGTCTTATTTCTAAGAATTAAAATATCAAATGTGCCCAGCAAATACCATCAGTATATACACAGAAGAAAGTATTCCATATACATATGGGCAGACAACTTACAAGTCAACCTAGTTGTCTTGTGGAGGAACAGGTTCTTGTAATGCACAACTGACAGTCCAACCCAAAATTCACCCTTACCCAAGCCTCAGTGGGTATCTTAATTTTCTACAACCCAATTTTGGAGGGCTATCAAACTTAACCCCACTCCTGCTGAAACCATTCTCAAGACCCTGCAACTCTGCTTCCTATCATAATCCCAAAGTGGCATGTACCTTTTAGACTGAGTCAGGTTATACCACTATTTCAAACAAACCTGTTGCCTAAAAGGCTGTTAACAGGGTTCCTAATAGCTCCATGATTAACAAGGGGCTGAGTCATCCCTTCCTTATACTTTCTGCCTCAATACTTCCTTTAAAACTGCTAAAATGACTCAAAATAGTGTTTATTTTAGGCTGGAATTTGATGTAGCTTGTTTTTTCATCTTAGCAAAGTATACAGAACTCTCAGTGAACAAAGAACTATTTCAAAGGAGGACTCTTTTTTTGATTGTTATCAGTGCTCTGGGCTGAGATGCTACTAGAATCCAACTGTTTATTAATATTTATTAACATTACCCTAAATAACAAGTTTTAATACCGAACAATAACAATAGCTATTGCCAGTGGTATTCTACCTAAGAATCATAAGCCAATCTGGACCACTGTGAGCTTAGAGTAGGTGTGAGGGAAGGGTGTTAGCGGATGGTTTTACCTGTCTTGTCATTTGCCAGACACAGTCAATAAATTGAAGAAAAACAGGTGATCTATCTGCATCAGCATGGTTCTTATCTCCATGGCCAACTCTCTGAAGCAAAGACAATGAAATGTCACATGTAGGACATTTTACTTAGTAGAATTTTGTTTTCCAAAAGTATAATTTGGTCAGTATTTGTAATTTCTTTAAAACATCTTTTAAAAGTACTACAAAGTAGAAATCATAACTCTACCCAAGCAGGAACTTATTAACATTTCCACACTGCAAACTTCAAGATTACTACTTTAATAAATGAAAGCCAGATTCTAAAACAACAAAGAAGAAACAGTTCTTACAGCCCAGATATTTGTCCCTAGAGATGTCTCAGTGGTAAGACATTCCTTATGGACAGTTACTAGACAAAGAACACCTTCTCAGGAGATAATTACATAGCACAAATCTCAAGAACTTTCAAAAGTTCTTGGATCTGTCCTTCACATAAATGGGTTCCCACCCATACAACTTAAAATCCCAAAGCAGGCATTCATTCAAAAAGTGAGATAGCCGGTCATAGAAGCAGCACACACCTGTAATCCCAGCACTCTGGGAGGCAGATGCCTGTGAGTTCGAGGCCAGTTTGGTCTACAAAGTGAGTGCAGGGCAGATAGAGCTACACAGGAAAACCCTGTCTTGAAAAACCAAAACTAAATAACTAAAATAAACCAGTGGGATATATAACTTCTGGGGCAAGCTTCGATTTAAAAACATACTGTCGTAGTCCTAGGCCATTGCTTTGATTTGCTTTCCCAGTGTGTAGTATTGGTACTCCTGGTACAAACGAATATACTGCTGTTGGTTGTCAAGTTGCTAGCTCACTACTAAAGGGAAAATGTCAAGTTTTCTTAGACAAGTATCACTGACAAAGCAGGAAAAAAAATTGTTACTGAGTAAATATTTTAATGTGACAAAATGGAAAAGGTCTGTGTGTGATTTGCTATTATTCTGTGCATCAGGATAAAACAAAGTAACATTTTAATATAAACTATACATTATAAGATTTTAATATTTGATGTTTTTCAAAAATGTACAGTTTGTTTTCCTTACAGTAAAGTACTATGGATAGTATTTGCTGCTAATCATGTAAAGATTGGAATTTTAGTCAACTTTCACCTTCTCTACCTTTCTGAAAAACCACATGCATATGCCTCTGCTACAGTAGACAAAACAGCAGATCAGCAGGTCTGCATAACTATGAGCTAGTGTTTTTTCTATAACCATGATGGCACAAATATATATATATAGAAAGAAAAATTAGGAGACCAAAGGAATTTAGTATGACAAAGGATTAAAAAAAAAATCTTTTTTTGGATTCCATAACCTCTAAGGAACCTCTACTACTTGCTAAGTTCTGACAGATTTCAAAACATCCAAAATAATTTTCAAAAAAGGCTACTAAACTACATAGAATTTTCCTCATAAATTTCAACAAACTGATTGTAGCATTAGTCACTAGCATGCCTTCTTGACTAGATGTTCTTTAATGAAAGAAAGCAAAGAAAAGGACCCCCTTTAAATAGTGGACCAGAAAGAGTGGGATGGGTGACCAGAGCAAGTAACAAGGAATTTATGGTTTTGAAACATAACTGGTTTTTTCTTTGAAGAATTTGTTTTAAAGAGAGTTTTTTGATAAGTGCATCATTGTATAGACAAAGTGGGAAAATGTAAGCTACTGGGAGAGAATGCTTCAGGTGCCTAATTTTGCTTGACAGTTCATGTTCAAAAGAGTCAACCAATTTCAAGTGCTAGTTTCTTGAAGTTACTTATAAACACTGCTAGCAAACCCTTCTAAAGATTAATATTAAAGCGCATCCATGCAGATACCAGGACCTATACATATCCCTCTGTGCCATCTAGGCCTCTAATGTTCTGGCTTCTCCCTCAGTTCAACTCTTGCCTTGTTCATCATTTATTCTCAAACTCCTTCCCCTTCCTGGGAAGATGACTCCGTCATCACTTTAATTCCAACACAAATAACACAAGACCTATAACGTTACTGTAAGTTTTCCAATTCCAAAACAGCATTGAACAGAAGCCATTTAACATTCCATTGAAGAACAGCATGAGTCCAAAGCATAGCACAGGAAAGCAGAGACCAAGTGTTTTCTTAAGTTGTGGGTACCACACGTCTAGACAGTCATAAGTACACTGACAGACAACTGGGATGGGGAGAAAAGACCAATCAAGGATGTTCATCTTGAAAAGCTGAACTGTTTATGGGTGATACAGGGAGATAGCTAGCTATGTTCAAATATCTGAATGATAACAAGGAATGATTTTCATTTGTCTCCAGGGGGAGTGTGAAACCATAGGAAGCAGGAGGCCTCACTCCATTATCACAAATTCCAGCAAGGGAGTCTAAGTGGGACCGATGGCTTCAAGAAGGGGTATATGCCTGTTGTTAATGAATAGAAGCACTAATTTAGTAGGTACACCTTACTGTTTTAGGCATATACTTCAGATTCATGGCTAAACAAACTTTGAATCCAACTAAAATATTCTAGGATCTCTTAATTTTAAAATTTACCATTAAAAAAAAAAATTCTCAGCCTAGTCCCAGGAGTACATATCAGAAACTCCAGCTACTCAGGAAGCTGAGACTAGAGGATCACAAGTGAGACTATAAAGTAAGTCAGTCTTGGAAACTGGGCAAGACCCCATATCTCAGAACTTTTTAAGTGGAAGAGTGCTTGTATTGGCCCTGGGTTTAACCACTGTCTAAGTAAATAATAACACTTTGAACAGTACAAGGCTCAAAATTTTGTCATTTTCATAAGACTACCTGTGCCACTTTCCAAATTTATGGAAAGCATAAATAGGAAACTATATTTAGTCCTAAGGAGTTAAATATTAGTTAAAGTTTTTATTTTTATGTACATATAGGTATGTGTACATGATACCCAAAGGCCAAAAGAGTCAGATCCCTCTAGTGCTGTACTAATAGGTACTTTGGAGCCACTTGACCTGAGTGCTGAGAATCCTCCATTGAGTGCTCAAATCCTCCACAAGAGCAAGAGTTCTTAATAGCCGAGACTTTTTTTTTTTTTTTTTACACCATTATCCAGTTTTATACCTTGCACAAGATGTGAAACATTAACACATTAGGAATGAAGGTGCAGGATGGCTCAGCTGGGAAAGTGTTTACCACAAAAACATGAAGACCTGAGTTTGGTCCCAACAGCTTAATAAAGATAGGCATAGCGTGCATGCCTGTAACCCCAGCACGGAGAGACAGAAATGGCAGGTCTCTTAGTTTTGATGGCTAGCCAGCTTACTCCAAATCTGTGAACTCCAGGGACAGTGAAGAACCCTGTCTTTAAGAGTAAGATAGGAAGTAACTGAAGAAAACTGACAACCCCTGACTTGCACACAAATGCACATGCGCACATGAGCATAAGAAGACCAGACACACAGTTAAATGAAGGTTCTTTACTCACTAGTTGGAATCGATGTCCAAAGCTTAGCCACTCTTTCTCCACGAGAACTTCAAATCCTCGGATGGTTCGATAGTATCCATCCAGCATAAGCATGGCCAGGGAAGTGAGCTGAGCTGTGCGATCCCAGCCATCACTGCAATGCACCACCACAGAGGTCTTCCCCGACTCTACCTTGTCAGCAATCCTCAGAGCCCCTGCAAGAATGAGCTGGAAACAAGAGTAAAATGAAAGTAAAATTTAAAAAGTGAATCACAGTTTTGTTAGATATTACTGCCTCAGTCACATGGCAAGAAGCATCAGTCAACAGTCATTAAAAAGGAGGCAAGGTGCCAAGGCTCATGCCTATAATCCCAACAGTCTGAGAGGAGGACTACCTGGAACTTGTCTCCAAAACAGACAAATAAATGAACAGCATATTAAAGTGGAGTGTGGGTTGAGAACATACGAAGCTGGAAAAGAATACAATGTGTGAAGACAGAAAGTGAAATATCTGGAGCATGGATAGAATTCAGATGGATGGGGAAGCAGAAAACAAGGAGCAGCAGAGACACATGTACAGCACAGGTAAATGTACAGCTTCTTCAGAGTGTGTACAGAGACACTGGCCTCCGTACTCATCAAGTCCCTCTTGCTGATTTCAGTTACAAGATCCAAGGGTGGAGGCCTTAAGAAAGAGTAACAAATACCTTAATATGTTCCAGCCAGTGTGTAGATTCCAAGTTAGACAACCAGTGAGTTTCCTCAATGTTGGGGTACACAATCTCCTTCAGCTTCCGCAATGATTCTCTCATAACATGGATATTATGAATATCCAGAAAAACAAGTTCTGCATTTTGATAAGCATCTTCACTTTCATAACCTCCCCCCTTTGCCTGCAAAAGGGCACATATCACAGAAAACCATAAGTGAATGAATAGCTCTCTTCTATAGATATTCTTACAAAATTCCATAAAATGTATGGAATACCTAAAATGTATGAAATATGAATATTGCTGTACATAAGGAAACCCTATGGGAAGCATGGGTAACTCAGGGCCACTTAGAATAAACACATGCAGCCTCATAATATCCCTAAAACAGCCTGTGCTAAGCCTATGTGACAGGATGTTAGGAATCATCCCAACGTACTTTAGCATTTTAAAGAAAATTTCACTATGCTTATCAGTCCTATCGAGAACAAAAACTTCCTTTCAAACTCACTGAAACAGATCATCAATTCCATATTCAAGAATCCCATACTCACCCAAGCCTTTTCTCCTTTTTACATCATTTCACATTTAATAACTGAAAAACTCATTGTAGCCATAATGACTTCCAAGTTAGTGTTCTGTTGCCATGACAAAATGCTTGAGGAAGGCTTTATCTGGGGAAGATTTACTTCAATTCTACAGGTTTCAGTTCACAGGCAGGCCCCACATTTCTAGACTGTGATGCATCACGGGGAAAGAGCATGGCAAAGGAAAACCATTCCCCTACATCAGCCCTGTTACAGAGAAGAGTGGCAGGAAGGGCAGAGGCCACCCCTCAAAGGTGTCAGAGCTTTTATTTATCAAAATGTCCTCACAGATACACTAGTCCTCTTTCCAATCAAGTTGACAAGATTAGCTATCATAGTTTGCTTATATTATAAGCAGCTAATTCATTTTAAGTTAAAAATGTTATAAAACAATCCCACTGACATTACTATCTTCAAATCTATAAAATAATAAAATCATGACTACGACACCTCCGAATTCAAGTCCAAACTAATTTTAAAAATTAGTCAGACTTCTCTTCTACAGAGTAATTTATATTCAAAGTTGTCACAAAAATTAATGTCAGTGATACTTGTTAACAAAGACTCCTGAAGAGTGAGAATGGATGTTATGGTTTAACATGGTATATCAGGCTTTTGTGTTGTATACTTATGTCTCTAGTGGCTAGTAGTATTTGTGAGATTGTTGGAGGATGTTTATAATGTGAGGCCTAGATAGAGTAAGTAGGTCTCTCCCGGCACATCTCAGGGAGCAAATGGCACATGCTCACAGCAGCCCTGTTAGCCATTCTGCCACAGGATGTAACAAGTCTAACAAAGTCATTCTTAAACTGAGGCCAGAGAAACTTTCAAAGCAATTCTGCTGCAACAAATTTAAGAAGATGTAGTAGTTAATTTACAAGCCCATCACAGAAATGGAAAGAAATACTACAGAACCCATAGCATGGCAGTAGCGTCTTCATAAACCCACTACAGAAACAGGATAGAATTAATACAGAACCCACAGCCAATATGGACTGTGAATATTAAAGGAGTAGACACTTTCTTATGGTGAGTGCATTTTTTATCTCCATTAAGTATTTTTTAATGGCAACTACATGATAAAACAAAAAAATGAAAATCATTTAAAACTGAATTTGTTGATTAGCTACTCTGAGTCTCAAAATAGCAAGTGTAGGGAAGTGTGGGACAGACTACCAATCGTCCCAAGGGTTGACTGCCATCAGTGAATGGGAGGCAACAGTGCAATGGATACAGATGACGCAGAGAAAAGAGCATGAAGAAAGTCACAGTTTTCGGTTTTGTTTTGTCTTCTTTAATCTTAGAAGTGTAGCTAACCTGGCCATGGTGTCTCACACCTTTATCCCTAGGCAGACCCACTCACCAGACAGAGGCAGGTAGATCTCTGTGAGATCCAGGGTGACCTTGGCTCACAGTGAGAGGCTGTGCAGCTGAAGCTGTCAGGAGCCCTTTCATCCTGACAGCTAAGTGCTAAGACCTATAGTAGGTGTAAAGGGCCAACACCATATAACACCCTATAACTTCCTACCTGAGCAGCCGGGGACACCTCTGGTTTCTGGGAAGTAAGAAGCACTTATCTTGATTATTCAAAAGATAAAAGAATTCAACCAGTATCTTTAAAAAGTACTATCTTAACCCAAGCTAACCAAAGTAACTTGGATCCAAGAGTCAGCAGTGGCCCATAGAATGAATGGAACCTAAATCTGAATAAACCTCAGGCTCATCTCAAAGGTTTGGGGACAAACAGAAATAATCCACACTATGATACAGACAGTTAACACAGAAGGAAAAGCTGGACAGGCATGAGGATTCCCCATATAAGACTCCTGACATTGAAGAGAGTATCCTGGAAGATGAATCAAAACTGCAGAGTGTACACCTGTATAATAGCATAAAGTTGTGCAAGAAATACAGGGCAAGAAGAGTGGCTGCTCCTGGGCAGAAGATGGCTAGGTCCTGGCCACAGGAAGTTACAACAGTAACTAAGCAGGCTATGAAAATGCTTCCTCCAATACTTGCTGCAACAGAGTACATATGTGTGGTAAAGAATTTTCCTGAATGAAGTTGGGAAGAGGGGAGGTGGTGACTACAGAAACATCAATGTTTTGCCCTACCTTAGTTGCTGCCTTCTAGTCAGTTTTTGCTCAGAAGGCTAAGTCTGACTCCTGCTTTTATTCAGGGCATGGAATTTAGAGAGGAAACCAGCACTTGCTAGAGAATACATCTGACTTCTTTTGGCTACAGGGTTCATTTATGCATCCCACTATCAAATATCAAGATTGCTGGTGATAAGCAGTGTATTAAAAAGTGTGATACAAAAAATTATGACAAAGTATGTCTATGGGTGATGCTTATTTGATGTTTTTAGTATAAATGTATTTCAAAAGATGCATAAAGTTTAATGAACTGAAAAAATGCCTGTAATTTTTGGCATTCAAATTATTCAATACTCAATAAGTGAAAGAATTTTGTGCTATAAAATCTTTTGGGATGAACTTGGTTTCATTTTTAAGACCAATAAAGTTTATAAGTTTAACTGACAAAAAAGAAACAATAAAACAATCATGCTTTAAACACTTGCAATGACTTGATCCTCCTTCACCTCCTTTTAAAAGGACCACTTGCAAGAACACCTGCGACTCACAATGCCCTCAAAAAAGCTATGCAGATGCAGAATGAAGAATATCCTCCATGAGCTAAGGACAAACACTCAAGCACCACTCAGAATGGGAGGACAAAAAAGTCTAAGTGCAGTTTAATGTGATTAGTTATCAGACACTAAGATGACATTAACAATTTTCATTGACATAAAATGTTTTAATTAGAAAAATTATTCCATTTTACTTCAAATATTTATGCACAACTACACAGGTCTGGAAACATAAGCAAAGATTAATGATGCTACAAGTTTTGGCTATTTAAAAGCATTTCATCATTTGCTTAGCTGACTGCATTAACTAATTTTTCTATAATACATATGAATGTAGTCTCAAAAAGGTTAAAAACACTGAACTCGTTCTCATCACCAACCCAGCACAGTATGGCCTTTGTCTTTACCTCTGTAGGGTCTGACCACTTTACCAGGCTATTGTACAAATTCAGCTGACTTTAGTAACAGCAGACTAGTGACAACTAATTACTAAAGAAAATCTTACCTTATTGGCGACAGCGTTGACACTTGGCCGAGCATCAAATATAAATATTTTGTGAGACTGGGCGTTGGAATCCATGATGGCCTGAAGATATTTCTCATCCTCTTTGCTGCGCTTCCCACTCACTCCAACCATGGGCTGGCTGCAACGAGTGACTGTAGCTTGGCTTTCAGGATGAATCCATGACAAAACCTTAATGGAAGGGACATGGTGATAATCCCCCTACTGTGCCCTGCTTGTGAGCCTCCTAAAGAAAAGTCTTCTATACAGATGCCTGGCAGGACAAGAGCCCTCAGGGTGCCAGGAAACTGTGCCACCCTTCTTTTTAGTCAACTCTGCTAGTTCCTAATCAGATACCGTTGCAAAACTCACTGATTACTGAGAAGTCTAACCTTAAAAAAAGTACATTAAACAAAGCCAAATAAAGCCTGCTTGTTTTTTTTATTACTATTACTATATCAGTAAAACTGTAAAGTCCTTAGAATCTATACATTTGCAACCAGAATTATTTCATCTGCTCCTTTGAGATAGTCATACATCATAAATCTGTAGTTTCCTACTTCCTTGGATTTAGTGACCAAAAAAAAAAAACAAAAAAAAAAAACCCCAAAACAAACCAAATAAACATTTACTGCCGTGAATAAAGAATATGTGATATAGAATGCTAACTAATGCACAGGGCAAATGTTTTTGAGTCAGGAGCCAGGCAATTCTGTTTCAACTTTACAGTCTGATATATAAATACTATGTCTCATATAAATACTATGGCTTATCACCCAGCACCCATGGATGTACCCACTTGGCCTACTTACTGGAATCCGGCCCCGTGACCTGAAGGATGCCACTTTCTTTAGCTCCTCATCAGGAATGTTTGCTGGCACAACCAAGAGGGCAGGATACGTGTCACAAAGTTCATAGCGCTCATTTATCTTTGTTATTCTCCAGCTTTCATTTGGAATTCCCTACATTGACATAAACATAAGACGAACTGTCAGCTAAAATACAAGATACCAGGACAGTAGCCACCCATGCCAATCTCATCCATCTCCACTTCCTATTATCTTAAAACTGATCAAAAAGTGATAGCCAGAGTTTTAGGAAGCAACATTTTAATGTGGGGATCTGATTTCCTTGGCACCAGATATAATGTTAGCAGGCTTATCAGTTCATTAGACACTAACAGCCTGTGCTAAGAATACATGTGGGTTGGGGACAGAAAAGACCTCAGTATTCTGCCCTCACAAGAGCCGTCTCAGGTAGTGATTAGATGACTGATTTGCTGCTGATATGTATACATCCTCCAAAACTTTCTCTGGTTGTTAGCACTCTGTCAGGAAATGTTTTGATTTTACTTCCACTTCTGCAGGATATAATTACTGGTAAATGATTAGCAACTAGCACTTTTCATTGTACAATCCTCTAGCTTCTACTTTACTTTTGAAAAACAACCTGCCAGCTGAACTTTTGCTTTAGAAGACAGTAATAAAAAAGAATCAATTATTATTACTGTAAAGAGTGAGTACAAGGAAGGGGTAAAGGCAGGTACTATAGCCTACCTGTAGAGCCCAAAGGACAGCTAAGTGCAGCGGGTTCTCTGCTTTCACCTTAATGCTTTTGGGGGGTTAAACTCAGGTCTCAGGCTTGTGTGCAATACTATCTCTCCACCCCACAGTAGTCTATGTCTTCTAGCTATTCTTAAGACTTTGATGTTCTACAGTTTCTCTTTGTCTGTGTGTGAACTTCTTTACAGTAATCTGAGGTTAACACATGTATTCACTGTACAGATAGGTATCTGTCATTAATCTGACTGAAATATACTTTTTTGAATGAATGATGTTAAGGCATATAAGAACATTAAATTTTACACATACTGATCCCATTTTCATCTTTATACTGAAGTTTTAGACAAACTTATACTTAAAAACTCCTAGATAAGTAAAGATGGTGTGTATTCTGGAAATCAACTTAAAGAAATAAAAAGGAACGAAACAAATCAGGGTTAGCTTCCACTTAAAACAGAAAGGAAGAGACATGAGAGAACTCCTTACTCTCTGATCTACTGTTTATCAGGAAAATAATGTAGAAGATGAAAGCTGGAACAGAAAAGCACATACCTGCCTTCTATACTCTAGAAGGGGGTCATACAGTTTCCACCCATTTTCAGGGAATACTTCTTTATACTCAAAAGCAAAAAGAGGCTGCAAAATAAATAGTTAACAGTGTAAAGAGACATTTAAGAAAGTAATGTATCAGAAACATGTCCTTGAAGGGTTATAATCACTTGTGTTTTAATTTACTTATCTGCAAGAATATTTTATATTGCCCTTTTAAAATAGTTTTAGTTTTTGTTTTATTATTGACATTACTATTTTACTTACAACACTAAATATTTTATATGCTTTAAAAAGTACAGAAAGGACAAAGGCCCATTTATAAAGTTTACCAAATGCTAACCTATATCCTTTAAATATTTTGCTAGCTTTTATAGGTTAAGTCTAAGTAATAAATGAAATCTCCAAAACGTTACTTTCCAGCACAAATAACTGGTCCAACACCAGACAGCAGCAACTAAGTGGCTTGAAATCCATTCTGTAAGTTCTAATACATTGAGCAGCTGTTACTTCAGCATATAGAGTTTTAACATATAACTAGAAAAAAAATGTGCTGTTTAAAGAAAAAGAAAATTGCAACTGAAGTGAGAACCAGTATTAACTCCAGTACTAGGTTAATTTATTCCCTGCCTTATGCATTCTGGCTCTAACACAGGAATGCATTCCACAGGAATGTGGAAGTGAAATTTTCATGCAGTTGAGGGAACCTAGCACTGTTAAAATAATGCTAGACTAGTAACTCTCTAGAGTAGGAGATTTCAAACTTTCTATAAGGAAAGCAAATAAAGCTTTCCTCATAGAAACATCCTAAAGAAAAATACTATATAAACCAAGATGGCGGCACAGGCTGTAATCTGGGCCTCCTGGGGCAGTGGCTGGAGAAACTGCCTGTGCAACTCCACAAGGCCCTGTCTCAAAGACACACAAACAAACCGCTCTGTGGTATAGCACTTGCCTAGTTGTGAGACCCTGGGTTCAATCTCCAGTTCACTCTTCTTCCCGAGAAATCAAGACGTAATTATAGAATGTGATTACTGAAATGGACCTAGGGCACAAGCTAGCCTCTGCCCAAGTGCAGGGACAGAACAGGAAGGATCTCAGCTGAGCTGAGTTTGTTCACACTAATTACAACACAGATTAGAAAGACACATTTACCAAGCTGTTAGACACCGGAAATGCATATTTCATTAGATTCTCAAATATGGATCTTCTGGTTCGCCCCTCTGGTTTATGAGCAAATCGTAAATTCCTGATATCCTAGAAAAGATATAGTATCCGATTAACTCACTTTGTTCCTTTTTAATGAACAAATGAGGTTACTTGGAAATGTCGGGTAAAGGTTAAGATCTACATTTAAAATACAAACACAGCTCCAGGGAGCAGAAGAAACAGGAAGCACTCTCCCACATGGCAGAGAATCAACCTGTGCCCCTGGGTTCAGTGGGGCCAAAGGGGATATCAATGACAAGTACTGATGAATACCCACAATCAGCATTTGTTCTCTACTAGGCAAGAAAGGTAGCTCAGTAGGTAAAGAAAGGGCTTGCCTCACAAGCACAAGAACCTTAGTTCAATTCCTAGAGCTTGATTTTTAAAATAATTTAAAAAAAAACCATTTGCATTATGTATGACAATCTTTCTTGTATTTATTATTGCTTCTTAGGGTCACTTTACATCTCTTCTGCTGGACAGACAGGACAAACCAGCTTCAGTTCTTCCTCCATTTCAGGGGCATTCCTAATAGAAGTCCCAATATTTCTGGATGTAACCATCCAGGCTTTGCGCAGATGCAGCTCTACACTGGGATCTCAGGGACTCTGCATGTGTCCTCAGCCATTTCTCATGCTCAGGCAGGATGACAGGAATAGTCAAATTTATGCTATTTTATAGAATTTAGTAAAAGAATGTGAGAATAAAGATTATTCTAAAGTATCCATTTTTATTTAAGTATTTCAACATAGTCAGAAGCTGATTTTACTTGGTTTCGGTCTTATTACTGGTTGAGATAAGGCTGTGCACTACTCTATGTTACTCCACATTGCACAATAATAATACATTAATAATTTTTTTTTAAGTTTTGGTTTGAATCCTGAGCCTTGCCTCAGAAGACTCCATTTTACAAGCAATGTCTGCATTATGGGGAAGAAAGGTGACTGCACCCTCAGGAGGACTCAGAAATGGCACCTGTTCATTACATCCAATACAGACAAATGATTTATTCCTGAGAGCAGTAAGGGAGCTGCCCTGTAAGTCCAGTGTGCTGAGTTGAGACAGCAAGGGCACGTAGTGCTTTAAAATCCTATCAGGGAAACCAAGGCCAAGAACTTTCCAGACACAACAGACTATGGAAAATATCACTCCCTCACCTGGATCCTATAGCTCCCATATCATCTGACAGCTGGTGTGCCAAGAACTGAGAATCCCTGGCTACTTCTAGAGCTCTGGCTCTCCCATTTGAATCTAACTGGTCACTCAAACCCACTTCCTGCCCTGGCTGGCCTCACACCCAGTGGCAGCTTGCTCCATACGGCACTGGTCTGATTCACTACCTACAGACATACTCTCTCAGCCTACTTCTGAAACCTCCTGAACTCCACTGCAGGCTCTTTAACTTGTGTTCTGTTAACCATAAATATGCCAACTAATATACAGAAACAATTACTATGTGACCTGTGAGAGAATATTAGCAATTAAGACTAAAATAAAAGAACCTTCAGCCAGGCCAAAAGGGTAGGTGGGACTATATGACACACTGCTGTCGATGAAACCACTAAATGTTGTAAATTCATTGCTATTTAATAATTCTGATATCAGAAATATACAAATGTGCTAGCTGTTTTTTGGCATAGCACACTACCGGTAATTTTAAAAAACCACGCAGAGCCACACTACAGTGCACTTTCAACACAAATAAAATAGCTTACTGCAAACCTGAGCCAAACTATAGTACCAAATGTACCATTCTATAAAAACACATTTGTACATTGTATATTCCTATAAAGACATTCATATCACCTCTCTGGTTATCCTCTCTCCAGGAAAGACCCAACTATAATTCATAATGGTATGGGTCCACAGAAAAAACATATCTAAAATGTTAAAATTTCAAGTCAGCCTCTTTCATGCTGTCTTATACTTTAAGCACTATTTACTGCTAAAGAGAAATGACAGAAATGCAGAAATGACAGCCATTATACTCATAGGTCATGATGTCAAGAATACCAGTTACCAAGTCAATAATTTTAACACCAAATTCGACAAATTTCTAAGATTAATATGTTCAAATGTTCTGGATGATACACACTGTTTCAAGACTGAGAGAACAAGACAGAAGTCTGGAATTGAAATGTGCTCAAGCCAGATGGTAATAGTGCACACCTTTAATCCCAGGAGGCAGAGGCAGGCAGATCTCTCAGTCTGACGTAAATCTGGTCTACAAAGCAAGTTCTACAACAGCTATATAGAGAGACCCTGTCTCAGGAGAAAAAAAAAAAGAAAAAAGAAAAAGATGGGCAAAGGTGTTGATTAGGACCTGGTATTAAATGCCATGCGATGTGACTTAATGGCAAATAACATTTGCTTCTACAAGAATACATTCCTAGTATGCAATCCACTTATACCAGCTGTCAAGTATAAGTTCCAAATCAAATACAACACACCAGTATTGTAAAATTTACCTTGCACACAGTCTCCAGGCCATAAGAGTTTTCACCTCGACTAGATGCACCACCAATTTTCTCTACTCTACTTATTACTCCAAGAGAAGCATCTAGAACAAATGGGGGGTCCTACAAGATAAAAAGAAAACATTTTTTTTTTTAAGTAAAGTGCTTGAATAACATGAACAGTACCCTGGGTTCAATCTCCAATACCTATTCCCCCCAAATTTTAAAAATCATAACCATAAATGCTTTCATCAAATATTATCCAGAAGTGAGCTGGGTGTGGTGGTGGTGGTATACACCTTTAGTTCCAGCATATGAGGGCTGAGGCAGCCAGATCTGAGTTTGAGTTCAGCCTGGTCTACATAGTGAATTACAGGACAGGCATAGCTACATAATTAAGACTTTGTCTTAATGATTTAAAAAAAAAGTTAATTGGATCAGAAGTAAGCAAATATCCCAAATACACACAAATATACAGGCAAAAGCAAAACCAAGAAACCTCACCCGTTCCATGCTCTTGAAATACAATCTGTAATTTGTGACAGTCAGTGTTCCTCGTACAGTACCAGTGAAAGGACATATGTAAGTCACATCTTTGGCTAAAAAGACAAAATAGGCATAGTTTACTTAACACATTCTATAAAATTAATCTGACTGGCTAATTATGACAAAATAAATTACTTAAAAACTTTCAGAAGCCTAAACTTTTTCCAAGCTTCTAACTTTGACTTAATCCAAGAACCACAGAATAAACAGAAAGGCAGAGGCATGGCCTTTCCTGAGACAGCAAGAGGGAGCAAAGATCATCCGTCCCCTGTCCCTTTCCCTTATCCTCTGACAAAGCAGGTCAGAGGTTAGAATGGCAGGAAGAAGGTGATGATCAACCTCATTTTCCAGTTTGTAGGCCACTTTCAAGACCAGTTGGTATTCCCAGCCACAGTTCAGATTGCACTAATTTCTCCAAAACTAAAATGACCACAGTACACACAATACTAGAAGACTTTGAGCTGACTATACTTCTGAGGCATGAACAACCTGCAGACAGAATAGCACAATGTTTGTCTTTCATGTACATCAGCATTTTGCCTGCATAAATGTATGTGCACTTTGTGTGTGTGTGTCTGATAGATGAGAATATCAATGTGCAGCAAAGTAAAGTGAACCATTCAGCGTTCCAGAACCAGTAATTATTGTTAAGACTTGAACCCAGTTCTCCTGGCTAAACATATTTCTTGCCATGGATTTGAAGCTACCTCTTAGCAAAGCTAACCCCCTAGCATAGCACTGTCTGCTTAGTACCTGACCCCTCCATTAAAGGCTAAGTAACTCCAGTGTAGAAGTATCAGTCTATAATTTTCTGAGACTATTGATTACTATAGCATTTATTGAATCATTCTTATTTGTTATTCTTTTCAGTTGATTATAACTAACTAGTAGGTTTATCCACATCTAATTTTTTGCATTTTATTACATTTATTATATGTGTCTATGGGTGTGTATATGTCATGGCCACAGCATGCATGTGGAGGGTTCTTTACCGTTATTAACTGTGTCTACTTCAAGTCACTTAGAGGTACCTACATTAAAATACTCAAATACCTCCACATGTGGTAACCAGGATGGCAGTTAAATTACAAAAGCACAGAAACAGAGATAGCAACCGCTGAGGGCAAGAATGCATGATAGAATCTGAGGATTAAGAACATTTGAAATAAGATACCTGGGATAGTAAGACCAGGTTCAGAGGCAGAGGCACTTGTTTACATGAAGGAGGACAGAGGGAGGCTCTGGTTGAAGCACATGCTTGTACTCATTAACCCATATGTGGGTAAACCTACTAATTAATCAGCTGAAAAGAATAAGCAATAAGAAAACTGGTTGTAGATGAAGTCCCAGGAAATGCTGAACCTAAAGGAAAGTGGCCAAAGATTGTTGTGTAAGACTACACACTGTAATGGAAGCAGTGCGGGCATTGGGCTTAGAACAGCAGAAAAGAAATCATTATGGGCTGAGCTCTCGTTTTATTAACTAGGAAGCCCCCTATGCTGGAGTTCCCTCATCCCACAAAGCAAGCTAATGTCTTTCTCACAATATTACTCCAAATATCATTATGATAACTACTCCTAGCACTTAGCACCCCATACTGATAATAATATGTCTAACTCAACAGTAGCTCAGCAGGTCAAGTTTAGTCATAGATAGGGCTGAGAGGGACAAAGATGGAGAGAGTTACTCAGGGTAAAGATCAGAAAGACAAACAGTGCTAAGAAGCTAAGCTTAGGAGTTGCTATCCAACCACCTGATGGCATTTCCTCCCTCTGGCACGCTTATTTTAGACCCAAAGGAACATGCAGGGAAAATGAAGCATTGCCTTTAAAAGAATATAACTGACCATAACACCAAAGATGGTGCTTACTTTAGCTACGCAACCACCTTCTTCACCCTCCCAACATATTACTCCTCCAAACCTATGAATAATTGTTTTGTGAGTGAGCAAAACAAAGCAAGAATATAAAGTACAGTTTTCTGTCTATGAGTATTACACTGAGAAGCAAACCTTATCTATATACAAATGCTTGTTCTGCAATGGAAATAAAAACTTCATCCAAAAATTAACCTCAGCTTATGCAAGGAAGAAAACTATAAAAAATAGCAAATGAGAGGCTATACTTTAATAAAAATCACTTGTTTGATGTTTTTAGCTAGGTGACCCCAGTGTCTGAATGAAGTATTTCAAAATAATAATAAATATTATAATAATAAAATGTTTCTTCACAGAATTCAGCAACAATTTAAAAAGAGTAACATTAAATTTGTACATTTTCCAATAGCCAGACAGGAACACTCCCCAAAGCTCTGGGCCTGCGCTTGTAGCACACAGCCTGGAAGCTACAGGAGAATGAACACCTGTGCACAGTCAGAAACAAAATTTAAAATTCACTACAGACCCATGTCTTTAATGTTTTCTCCCGGAAGCAGGGCTGGTTCCTCCATTTCTGCTAATTTGTTTGACTCTCTCAGGACCTAGAAGGGGTATGTAAGAAAGAAACATTTTTTATTCAAAGGCTATTTTTTTTCATTCAAATTTCATTTCAGACTGTTTGCTTTTATTTGAAATTATAATCGTATTATACTACTTCAAATCAAATTATAGAAACTGCAGTATTGCTGTTATTAAATATAATGTCGCGAGGCAGTACCATGGTACGCCCATGCCAGCGTGTGCCTCTGAGAAATTCTGTGATGCAGCAAATCTGGTATAAGGAGGTTTACCGGGGGGAGGGAGAGGAATGAGGATCTCAAGAAGGAGTAGAAGCAGACAATTAGACATTTAGACAGGCAGACAGATGGGTGCAGAACTATGATGGCAGAAAAGAGGGGGAACAAAGAAGGAGAAAAAGGGGGTGCCCAGGGACAGAAAGGGGTGTTGGGCAGTCTTTTATATGCAACATACACCTGACACACCTGGCACACCTGGTGGCAGCAGGTGATGATGTAAGCTGTTGCTAGGTCCCTAAGAGGAGCTTAGGGGAATCGCCTATAAGCTAACAATTGCCACATACAATATAAAGCTGCCATTTTTCTACAAGTATTTCTTGAATGCCTAAGAATTATAAAATCTTACATCCATATAAAAAACTGTATATTTCACAACAAATCCTTAAAAAGCATAAAAATAAAGTTTTTAATCCTCATTTCATAGGTGAGGAAATAAAGGTCAAATGTCCATGATCTTATTCAAAGTCACAAACAGCAGCCTGGGTCCCATCATAATGGTAGGAGACTCCAAAGCCCACTCCCTTCCAATAAGCCACATTAAGGGTGCAGAGTGCATTTACAATCAGTAAAGTTAGGTCCTAGTACAGAGTTACTATTTATAGAATTATTAAGTGATACTGATAAACAACCTTACTGGGAGAAAAATAATAAAACAAACAAAAAAAGTTTTAAATTAAATCTTGACCCAGGGAAAGATAGTCCACTTTTCTAAAAACCAGATACAGAACCATGGTCATGCTGTCAGATGCCTCCTAAATATTTGTCTGTACACAGGTGCCAGTGTTGCCCTCGGCCAGAGATGCTATTCTTTGCATTGGTCAGTAATGAATGCAGTCATAAATGGCCAAAGTGCTGAGAATAAGTTACTATTGAGTGCTTAGCTCTAAACAGACAGCTATGTCTCCATCCTCCCGGTCATGCTCTGCTCCCCCTCTCATCCCAGCTCCACATGCAGAGAAACAGCTCAGGGAACTCTGCAAAAGTGGGGGCAGGAAGAGCCAGAGGATGCAAAGTAATGTTCTGGAAAACTCTTCTGGACATGGCATGATCATTACATTGGGAAACTCACTGTGGCTATGGTTACTTGTATAAGAATCAGCAACCAGAGAGAGCAAGGGGAGAGAACATGAAGTGAAGGACAACTTGCTGAGGGTGGCAGGGGTAACAGGAGAGGGGAGTTGAAAGAGAATATGCCCAAGAGCCATTGTTTACATGTTAAAGAATAAACCAGGGTATAAAAGAAGAAAAGGAACAGGATTCTCTGAAAAATAGATTATGGTGATACACCCAGGGCAGGGTGTTGGCTGAGCATCTCACAATGCAGAAAGTAAAGACCATCAGCAAGGGTGCGGGCTTTATGAAAGACCTTCCCAGTGGGAGCTTCCACACTGAGTGCACTGTCACTGTGAGGTTTAAGTTAATATTCACAGGCACACAATGAAGTAAATGGCTTGGTAAGTATCTCAAACAAGGGAAGGCAAAGAAATGTATCTCCCATTAATAGTACCAAAAAATGTACACCAGCTTCTGCTCTGGATCAGGTAGCAGGGTACAGCTCTCTAAGATGGGCTATTTATGTAACAGCTTCTTTCCAAAGACTAAACATAAGAAGACAGAATATTCTACACTAAATAATCCCAACACTTCAACCACTAAGTGGCTAAGGTGAACTTTATGATTATGAGCCATGGTGACAGGGTAGAACCCTGATATGGCTAAGGACACACCATTTCATCTCTGAGGTCTTTCCAGCCTGTAACCCCAGTTTAACCGTGAGTAAAATGGTTCATATTCTACAGAGTATCTGCTCAGAGCTTCTCCAAACTGAGAGTCTTAGAACTGTCACAGTGTTAGGATGCCTTAGAGACTCAGCTGTCAAATGTTCTGGGTGAGAGCTAGATCCTGGAGCAGAGAGGACACAGATAAAATGGAGATCTGAAGCAAAGGCAGCCTTCAGAAATGGGAGTGCTTCGCTGAATGTGACACACACGCTACACTAATAATGTAACACGAGACACTGCACATGACTATGTAGGCACTCTTTACTAACAGTTTGCAGTTTTTCTTTAACTCTACACTGATCTAAAATTAAGGTGACCTAAAAAGAATAATAATAATATTTCATGTGCAAATGAACACTCTGGTCCTCATTATGTCTAAGCATGAGCCAGTCACTTATTACTTCTGGCGTATGTGTATCCTAAGAAAATGAGAGAAGCCTTTATACCAGTGGTTCTCAACCTTCCTAATGCTGCAACCCTTTAATACAGTTCCTCATGTGTGGTGACACACAACCATAAAACTGTTTTCATTGCTACCTCATAACTGTAATTTTGCTACTGTTATGAATTGTAATATACATATTTTTGGAGATAGAGGTTTGCCAAACCTCCGTCACAACCCAAAGGTTGAGAAATGGTGCTTTATGCAGCAATGGTGAAAATAGAAGTAAATTTTGTTTTTAACTAAAAAAATTACATTTTGAACCAATTCTTTTGTTAAGTAGTTAAGAGCTGACAAGTAGACCAAAACAATTCAAAATTAAGCTTATGCCCTATTTTATTTTAATTAATCCAATAACTGACAAAAATAGATATAAACCACGTATTTGTCATGTTAATAAGGATAGCAACAATAGACTATACCCACTGTTACTAGAGCCAAGCCTGTCCTAAACACACGTGCTCTTCCCTATTGTAACCATCACACCAGAAAGCCACTATAATTAGGACAGCACACACAGAGATTATGAAGATAAGCCCTAGAACTGCAGAAATGCCTTTAATACCGTGTTTCACAAAAGACAATGACAAATATTGTAGAACCTTTATAGATCTCCACTCTGTCATCATGTATTCATTAAAACGAAAGACTATTATCAATAAATACTAAACAGCAAAGAACTTCATTACTGAAGATATTTATATTCTCCACAATATGTGATGCAAGCCAGGAAGAATATGCTTGTCGACACTGCAGCACCTGAACAGACTTCCCATCTTTCAGAACCATGAAAATAAGTATCTACTGTTTAAAAAGAAACTGTAGAAAGGCTTAAAGAAAAGCAGATGAATCCATAAATATACCAAGTACTACAGTGAACCACTGAAATGGTTAATTTTGGTAGAAATAAGACAAAATTTTTAGAATACTTTAAAAAGGTACTGAGAGTGTAGAAATGACCTATCACCCTAGTACTTAAATACAGAAAGACTCAACAGGATAGAGCACTGATGTAATGGCTAATCTTGGCTTTAACTTGGAATCAACTAAACCCAAGCAGCTAGGTAACCAGTGAGGGATTTTCTCGATTAGATCATTCCCACCCTATCTAAGCCACTCTTTCTGATGGCAGCCCACATAAAAGGACATGAAGAAGGAAGCTTTTGCTTTTTGCCTGCTTGCCCTCACTCTTGCTGGCAATCCTGTTGCTGAAGCATTCTTTCACTGTTGTTAGAATATACTTCTTCCAGATTCTAACATAGACTGAAGACAGCAGCTCTCTACGAGTTCTCTAGAGTTCCAGTGCCAATTAGGGACTGATGAAGATATCTAGTCTTGTGGACTGCACAATTACCAGACTTTTTGGCCTTTCCTTCAAGAGAAAGCTTCACTGGACTGCTAGAATCAGAGGCTGTAAGACACTCTATTAAATCCCCTTTATGAAAATGCTTTTCATCCTATCAGTTCTGTTACTTTAGAGAACCTTGACTAATGCAACTCACAATACAACTGTTAGCTACAGTATTAGCTATGAGGCCCTGGACACATTACTTAATCTGAGATACTATGTGGAAGTGACAAAACTAGAATTATTACAAGAGATAATTTCAGTTTAGCTCTTTAGAGCAATGGCTGGCTTACTGTAAGTTCTCAATGCATTTTAGTTATTTTTCCCTGTCATTATGGAAGTGATCAGGAAAACCATATTACACAAAGTACTATCTTTAGACTTAAAAGCATTACCTTAAGGAATGAATCACTTTTTTTTTTTTTTTTTAAATATTAAGTAAGCATTCATATTTGCTGGCCTGGTCTAGGATGATCTATAAAAAGTGAGGGCTTTGAGAATTTTCTGCCATCACCTACTTAATTATTACAAGTCGTACTGATGGTGCTGGGCAGACAATGAACAGCAGGGATATCATCAGTCTGTTTAAGCAGCATACATACCCTCAAATCAGGAGAAAAGTTGTCTGCAGAAGTAGAAATGGAGTCTGAAGACACAGCAGAAACTGACTTGGTATGCACCGAGTTCTCTGAATGAGAAGTGGAAGCACTACAAAATAGAAAAACAGTATGTTTGGAAAATGGTGCTTTGTAGACTAATTTTAAATGTTTGATAATAACTCCAATATTTATTGCAATTTTCATTGTGGTAGATTCTGGATAGCCTCTTCAGTGGTTTCTAGAAAGACAGGAGAATTGCAGCCTCTGTTCTTTAAAAGTTAAGTATTCTTGCCACTCAAGTCTGAATAGACTCCCCAATACTGAAAAGCATAATTTGGATGAACGCCTTCCTTTCATCCATCCATCCATCTACCCATCCACCCATCCATCCATCCATAGAGAGGGGGCTGGCGAGATGGCTTCCCTCAAAGTCTGATAATATACACTCAATTCTGACTCCTCACAAGTTGTCCTTTAACATCCACACACATGCGTTGCACAAGCACCCAAATAAGCACATACACACACAAAATAAATAAATGTAAAAAAATTAAAAGAACATTCCAATATGCACAATTACTTCACCAGACACAATGTTCCAAAGGTAAAATTGGCACAATCCCCATGTGCATGTGGTTCACAAGCTTGTGTGATAGCAGCTCCTCCCAGCATTTCCCCACCATACACACACCAGAAAATTCTGGGAGAACTTAGGCAGTATTTCATGATCAGAGCTTTCTTATATAAAGCCAAGGACTGAATCAGATTTCATGCTTGTTAGGCAGTGTCTCCACTGAGCTATATCCCAACAGTTTGCAGAAATGCTTTTGCTTTGTTGAAAGTTTTCAGTGCCTTTACCAGGTTGGCAGGATCAGTGCCTGGGAACTGAGTCCTGAAAAGAGCCAACTGTATAACTAATAAATAAAATCACTGCATAAACAAGCAAAACACCTGTTATTTCATTTAAATGGATGAAAGGGGGATGTAGTTATAACCAGTAGGCCATAACAGTATATACAGTGCATCATAAATTTTATATATATGATAATATATATTATATATGTATATATTTTAATATATACATATTGTATATATTATACAATATATATATTATATATAGTAATATATATAATATATATATTACAATCATCTAATTCTATAACATAAAAAAAGAAAAACTGGTGGGTTGAAAATGTTCTTCTTGTTTGTAGCTAACCTCTGATGAATTTAACACTGTTTGCCTTGGCAGGTGAAGTAAAGCTTAAGGCCACAATTTAACTGATGTTCATTTGCTACACCATGTAAGAGTCCTGTCCTCTTCCATTGCATCTTGTGCTGAGCCTCAGAAGACACACACAATTGCTTTAGTTCTCTTGTGGCTAGGAAGACCAGAAGAGACAACTCTGGTCACTGAGATTAGATGGGAAGTCTAGTAATGGCAATGAAAACCCTTTCTTACTAGAAGAGAGTATAGAGTATAAATAAGATAGGCCTACTGTCTTCCCTTTCCCTTACCTGAGGTGAAAATATCAGTACTCATTCTGTAAACAGGGGGCCTACAAAAAGTCTACCAGGACAAGGGATGTGTTCTTAGGGCGTTATAGAAGAGCTGAACAGCTACAGGTATGCCCATAACCCTAAAATTGATGTCACATAAAATAAGTGAGCCTCAATTCCTACAATTATTGCAATTGGGTTTTCTGTTCTCTACAACTAAATAAAACCCTACTAATACAGCAACTTCAAGGTCTTTTGGGGAAAATTCAAATCCATATAGGACTACCCTCACAACCTTGAGTGAATATGGATAATAACTTTTAAAAGCAATAAAGCACAAGTAGAAATTATAAGCACTACATTATCTAGAAAGCCAATGACAGAACTGTAGCACGTAGCACCGAGGAACCAAATAACTACTAAAGGCAACGTGAAAAAATAAATACAAGAAATAAACAAACAGCTCAAAGCCTCAGATTTAGAGTTCTGGGCTTTTAAGCAAGAATGTGCTGGCCAGTCTTTAAGTTCTCATTTCAGGCAAATGATGAAACTGGAGGGCACCCTGTGATTATGTCAGAAACACACACACTGGCAGGACTGCTGAAAGCTGCTGTCCATATCAAGTGCTGCTTTTGCTGGGCTTCTCAGACTAAGGGGCCACAGCACAGAAGCACAGCTCTGTTTCAGGACCCTTATTTTTCTTCTCCGGTAATAAGTGTATTCAGTGCTCTGGTCACCAATGGCTACTAATACAACATGAGTAATTTCCACTGTCCTCCCCAGCCCCGCATTTCTTCATGATTCATCTTCATGTCAAGATCTGTTTTACCAATTGTTCCACAAGCCCAAACCTGCTGTCATCCCACACAGGCTATTTCTTTAGCTCAGTCCATTTATTAACATTAACATGCTACCTTTCTTATCAGACTCAATGAAAATCTAGGTTTCCCAAAAAGTTCCAAGGCCTTCCAGCTGGAAATGAACTCTCCATTTTCTATTTCCACAGTCTTTAACTGCACTTAATCACTTTCCTCAGAATACTGGAGAGCCTGAGTTGCCAGGGACACCTCCCCTTTAAATTATAAGTTGCCAGACAATGAGAACCTTGTAATTGGCAAGGCACTACATCTCAGGGCAAATTATACAGACTTCATTCATCATCCAATACCACTTTGGTCCTCAGTTCCCTAGGCACACACACTTCATTAGTCAACCCCACATCCCTGTTACTCTTGTTGTCCTGGCATTCTTCTATTTCAAGTCAACTTTTAGTTATATGTGTTTATTACCATATTACTCAGTTTCTTCCACCCACTTTCTCTGTCCAGAGCATCCACCAACAACTCTCCCCAACATTTATGCTCGAACTTTTATTCCTAAAAGACTATGTGCATGTGCTATACCCCTTATAAAAAGCCAGTGACTTCTTTCCCTTCCACCCTCACTCAAAGGCAGCCTCTACATACCTCACCTCCTTCTAGCTATGAAGTCTATATAAGAAACCTTCACTATTCTTGATACTGCTAAGACGCACCCCCAATGACCTCAACCCCACAGCTCTTTCTCTTTGGCCTCCTCATCTCCCTCTTCAGCAACAGGCTGCTCTAACCATCCCACTCTGGCACCCACTTTCACCCCATCAGCAGCCATCAGCTGTTAATCCCCACCCCACTTTCTCACTCCTGCTCCGAAGTGGGACACACTCTATCTCTCCCCATCCAGCCTAATGCAGCTCAGTTTTCCCTTTGTGGGAGGCTACTAGGGTAAACAGCCTGGTCGAGGTACATGTCCCCTTTTCATTAAGTGAAATCTCTCAAATAAAAAAAATAAATAAATGGGATCTTACACCTCCAAGTACTCTCTCTACTTTTATTAAAGAATTTCAGTGTGTTACCCAATCCTATAGTCTCACCTTCCACAACATATATATGATCCTAACCAACTACCAACTTCCAAAGAGTGCAGGCAAGTTTGGGAGCAGGCTAAAGCACATGCAGATGAAATCTACCAAACACAACACACTTGGCCAGGGCTGAGATGGTCCCAATCAAAATCCCCAAAGGGATACAATACCCCAGAAGGCATTTTAGCTAGAGATCAGTTTATAATTTGCCTCCTGGCCAGTCTCCAAGAGGTCTTCCAGGACAAACATGAAAATCCATCTCAATTCCTAGAATGCCTCACAAAGACCCTCTTACATTATACCAATTTAGACCTCCAAAACCCAGAGTTTCCTCAATATTAGGGCCACACTTATGTACTTGGAGAAAGGACCAATAACCCCAAAGGCAGATATCTTAGCACTGGCCTTTAAGGTGGGAGAGATGACAAAGCCCATAAACCAAAAAATATCAAATGCTGGCCAAGGCCGTTCAACCAGCTTCAGTGACTTCCCAGGCTCCCTTGCCTCTTAAGACTCAAAGATCTTAGGTCCCTGTTTCAAATGTGGAGGAGGGTCACTGGGTCTAGGTCTGCCCTAACCACTGCAGGCCATCCGGGCCATGACCAAAGTGCCACCAAGAGGGACACTGGACTGTTGAATGCCCCCATGTCTCTTGTGGCCTGGGAACAACAGACCCAGATCACCCTCCAACCGATCTTTTAGGGTTGACCATGATGACTTGAAGGAGGCCCGGGCTCCCTTGGTCTGATTGTCATCTCCAATGGGGAGCCCCAGGTAGTCATTAAGGTATCAGGGTGACCCATTTCCTCCTGGACACCAGGGCCACTTATGTGGTCCTGATGGAGTTTTGGGAACCCACCTCTCATTTCCCTATTGTTGGTGTAGGAAGACAGCCTTACCAACCTCACCAGACCCCACCTCTCATTTGCATTTTCAGGGGGTATTCCTCCCACTCATTCTTTCCTTGTGGTGCCAACCAGTCTCATCCCTTTATTGGAAATGGATCTTGGAGGCAAAGTTGGAGCCTCTATTTTGTTTGCTCCCCTCATTTGCCTGACCCCAAGCTTGCCTGCTAGTAGCCCCTTTCCTCCTCCTCCTAACCACTCAACCTACTAGCTCTAACACGTCATTTCCTTTGCCTATCTCCCATGTGGACTCTCAAGTTTGGGATTCCCAAAACCCCTCTGTTGCTAAACACCATTCTCCCATCATCATCCAATTACAAGACCCTACCCAGTACATCACCCAAGCCCAGGATCCACTCCCACTCCAAAGCCTCAGGGCGTTTAAACCTATCATCTCTGACCTCTTTAGAAAACAAAACAAAAAAAACAAAAACACAACTATATCACATCTTTCCCCTTTCTTAAACTCCCATACCTGTAGCTAAAAAGCCTAACCTACCATCCGCAAGATCTCCAACTCATCAACTCCGCAGCGGTCCCACTCTACCCTGTCGTAGCTAACCCTTAAACACTCCTTTCCACCATCCCCTTCAGGTGCCTCCCATTTCTCAGTCCTAGACCCAAGGATGCATTCTTCTCTATTCTCCTTGATACCCGGCCACAAAACATTTCTGCTTTCACCTGGACTGACCCTGACACCCACCTCTCTACCCAACTCACCTAGACTGTTGTAGCACAGGGGGGGTTCCAGGAATGCCCACACCTATTTGGCTCCAGGCCCTGGCCTCTGAACTATCTGCTGTC